ATATTATATATATTATATTATATTATATATAATATAATATAATACAGGTAGTCCTCAACTTATGACCACAATTGAGCCCAAAATCTATCTAGCTAAGTGAAACATTTGTTAAGTGAGTTTTGCTTCATTATACGACTTTTCTTGCCACGGTCATTAACTGAATCATTGCAGTTGTTAAGTTAGTTACATGGCTGTTATGTGAACTTGGCTTCCCCACTGAGTTTGCTTGTCAGAAAGTCACCAAAGGTGATCACATGACTGCAACCGTCATAAATATGCACCAGTTACCAAGCATCTGAATTTTGATCGCATGACCATGGGATGCTGCAACAGTTGTAAGTATGAAAAATGGTCAGACTTCCAGTTTTTGCTTCTGCAGCGCATGGCCGCACGAGAGCAGTCCTCCGCTCCCCACGGCTCATTTCTTCCTGCTTGGGGGACCCTAGATGGGTTCGAAGTTGCCCCAGAGAGGTGTCTATGAAGGAGGGGTGCCCTGTCGATCGCGAAGCAACAGCAATCTCTTTGTTTGATCTGGGGAAAGCCCTCTGAACCTGACAGGAGAAAGGCTAGCATGAGATCAGCGTCTAGCCCAAGCTGCTTGCAGCCGAAATCCCAGAGCACGAACCTAAACATTGGTGAACAGCGTGCTTGGAATTGGTGAGAGTACTGATCTTCTTTCTTCTATCTACTATTTAAATCCTTGAAAAGATCCCCAAAACAAGTAAACCTCCAGAAGTGAAGGGAGGGGACTATATCTCCATTCCCTTACAGACGGAAGTGGCGAATTAACATAAAATGTGGAAAGAGATATACTAAAATTTGATTTAAAATATTTCAGTCTGGACAAATCTAGGAACTAAAAAACAGTCAAGATTATACCTTAAAAAAATTCTGATGGAATTATAAAAATATGTAACAAAAATAACTTTTTAATTGAAAGAAAAACTAACTGCTGACATCTAGTGGAGAATCAGAGAATAGAACACTAACAATAAGGACCCAGAAATTGGCAGAATGCCCAGAAACAAAGAAAAAGTTGTTCCTTTGAATTGCAAATAACCTTGAAGACAGCTGGGAACAAAGGAAGAGCCGGCTATAAGATTAAAAAGTGTTTGAAAGGAAAAACAACAACACCTGAACTGTTGCTTAAACCTAAGAACTGTTTATGGGGGGGGGGGGGGGAAACCTTGGCTTTTTGGCTAATCTTTTAGAGGAGAATTTGTAGGAAGCATTTAAAGTGGCTTAATATACTGAATCTGTAATTTTGACTGACTGATAATTTGACTTTTGAATTAAAACACTGATGAAAGATTATTTGAAGGGGAGAGACAATATGGATATCACATACATATCAAAAAATGACAGGATGCCACATTCAATATTTTCCCCTGAAGAACTTAGCCTGGAAAATCAAGGGCCTCCAGAAGCAATACTTCAAGGCAAGATAAATACTTTTGCAGAGGAAATATATGTAATGTTAGGACAAATACAAATGACAATAGATTCAAACCACGATGAAATTCGAAACAACTTTGAGGATTTAAATAAGCATATTTCCAATCTAAATCTACAATTAAAAAATACCCAGGAAATAATAACAAAGAAACAAACAAATCAGACAGCAGATTACAAACTAGAAGAGTATGATCAAATTGATGAAATAACAAAGGAAAAGAATTACAATTTGACACAAAAAATCTACAAGGTTCTGATACAACAAGAAAAATGAAATTATTAGAAGAACTATTAAAGTTTGGGGGGACAGAAAGAATTTATCTTACTTACTTTATCTTTTGTATTCCCAACATTTGTAAAAATACAGGAACTGTTGGGTAAGCGGATTACATCAACTTGGAAAATTACTTGGCAAAAGAAGAAGATCAGAGACAAATACAAGAGATTTGACTCGCCCTACCAGATGGACTATTTCATGAATAAACATTTGTTTGAATATGGCTAAAAGAACAGAGAATTTCGAACATAAAGGGGTCTTATAACAAGAAGGATAATGAGATTTAAGTAACATACTATGTTTTATAACATATTCAGCGTTAAAATAGTAGGTTGATGTAACTTTTATTAATATATAAGTAAAATATAAACTTATTAAAAAGGATGTTATATATAGAAACTATAGGATAGATAAAAAGTATAGAATTTTTATAATGCATGACATAAAATATTGGGATGATGTACCTAAATGGGAAAATTTAGACAATGTGTTGACTAATATGAAGGAATTATGACTGATAAGAATTGGATTGAATATAAGGGAATCCAAGCGAACAAAAATTATAAAAATAGGATGTATGTTGAACTAATGAGATGATGGTTATAAGAATAATATAAGCTGAAAAAAATGTTATATATAGAGATTATTATTATTCGTATAAATATAAAAAATGCCTATACCTAATCATTTATATATTGAAAATACTAAGAATTATATTTTGGCTAAGGTTGAAGGAAAATACAAATGGGAGAAGGGAAGATCAAAGAAATGTATTATTAATTAATATATTAATGATGGAAATTATCAAATTTAATCATTATTGACTGTTAATTAATTATTACTGTCCTTTTTTTTCTTATTAAAATATAAAGCAAGACAACATGCTGTACTCCAGGCACTGGAGATTATTATAGTTAAAAATCAATAAAATATCTATTGAAAAAAAAAAGAAGAAAAATGGTCATGTCACTTTTTTCACTGCTGTTGTAACTTTGAACAGTCACTAAATGAACTGTTGTTAAGTCTGTATAGTCTCCAGAACGGAACAGAACCCATTACAGAATTCTTTAACCTGATACTTGATTGATACTGAAATATCATTGACCTGGAAATAAATTACAACAGTTTTGCTTGCATTAAGCAATTGATTCCATTCCTCCCATGAATTTTGAAAGAGAAGAAAATTATTTAGCCAAGATCTAGGAGGTGTTTTACAATTCTACACAAAAGCTACCACATAAATAGTACCAATTGGGAATCCTTATTGCTGTAGATCTCTTCGACGATACTGGATTTATGTATTGCAATTTCTAAACTGAGAAGATTCTGAACGTGATGCCTGCTTGGATGTCAGTCTTGCAACTTGAAATTTTGTATCCTCTAATCCTATGTATGAAATGGCTGTGGAGAGCCGAACAGCTTCGAAACAATTCTTCTTTAGCACCTCTTCTCTTATTCAGCTTCCTTCTTCACGCTGAAAAATTTCATGCAATTATTAAACCACAAGCAATTCTTTTTGGTTTTTCAGAACAGAATTCTTTGTTAAAACAACTTTTATTTCCTAATGCTTCATACTTGCCAAGAGGTTTTACATTTTTTTTAAAAAAAAGAAATTATCCAATTCAGAGGTGTTATTAACTAATTACGGCTAACAGATTAACTCTGTGGAAAGCTGCTATTGAGGAAAAAAAAAACCTTTCTCCTTGCCTTTTTGTTATACACAGCCTTGACATATCCTCCTCCAAAGGTACTGTAACCACAAATCCCACAATTCTTCCTCTGGCTAGCCCGGCTGAGAATTCTGGGATTCATAGTTCTAGCACAACTGAGTTAGAAAAGGTTTCTGGAAGGTTTTACCACTTGACCAGTGCTTCCTTTTACAGTAGGCAATTTGAAATTAGACAACATAAAAATCAGAGCTAGGATACATGTTATCATTGAAAAGGCCTGGCCGATGCCAAGTTCTCCCCAATTGCGTAATAAAATGCAAATAGCAGCAAAAGAGCCTAAATATTATACAACTGGGGAGAACTAGACATAGGCCAGGCCTTTCCAATGGTAGCATGTATCCTAATTCTGATTTTATAGCTTCCTTCTATAAATGGAACAGTGTTAAAATAATGGACTGTAAAAATCAATCATCTTTTAGCAGTCACCAAATTACCAGATTATTAAATCAAACAATAATTGTATAATTAAATATCAGAAGCAAAACATCTACAACATGTCTGGGTATTCACATTTGAAGATCATGGGAAAGTTTTTTTGATCAGAGTAAATTCCAACTGAAAGTAAATGATTGGTGCAAATCTAAAATTGTAATTTATTGCACTGTGATGTATTAGGCTAAAATTTTCATCTAAGGCTCTGGGGGCAAAATACAACGGATATTTAAATTTAAGATAACTAAAACAGGACCCAAAGGGAGTATTGACTTAGCGCTACACATACACACACAAAATGAGCTTACACACATCTCTGCTGCTGTGGCTAAGTAGAGGGGGGGGGGAGGAGAAAAACCAGTTTTTACAAGTACCTTATTTTTTTCACATAATACAAACTAGGATTTTATATATAAACCACATGTAAAAACTCTTTATTACCTTAACTGTTGTGTCCCTTTTGTATGCAAATTTTCTGTTTGTAATTCTTCTGAATTAAAGTGCAGTAAGGAGGAGGAAAGGGAGCCTCTCCAAAGGGCATCTTACCTGACATTTGTGTTGAGATAAAAGCATAGATTCGAACTACCTGCTTCTCAGGTATCCAAGAGTTCAGTGCCAACTTATTACATTTATTTCATTATTGTTTATTAAAATTTGCATCCCACTTTATTATTTTTACAAATAACCCAAGGTGGCGAACACATCCAAATGCATCTTCCTTCTATTCCTACTTTCCCCAGAACAGCAACCTTGTGAGGTGGTTTAGGCTGAGAGAGAGTTACTGGCTCAAAGTCAGCCAGTAACTTTCATGGCTAAGGTGGGACTTGAACTCATGGTCTCCTGGTTTCTAGCCTGGTGGCTTAACCACTAGACAAAACTGGCTGTATAACTCAAGGTTCAAACTGGCTCTGGCTTACAGTTATAGCTAACCTTACCTTCTGCCTTCCCTCACCCCCCCGCCCACCCACCCCCAAAAGGTCAAATACAACATTCCAGGTCTGCCTCCTAATTTTATATGCCTGGGATGAAAAAAATGGTCATTGCTACTTGCTTGTGATGGGTCTCACAACATTCAGTTTGCAAAAGAGAGGTAGGCAGGAAACAGCTTTAAAGTGACAGACGATTCTTTTATATTTAAAAACCAAATAATAATATTAATAATAATAAACCCAGATTAAATAAAATGTACAGTGAATATACCCAGCCAACATCTGTATGTGCAATTAAATACGGCTCCATACCGCGGCACAACGCTGAACAAAACAATATACACGTGTTCTGGAGGGGGGGGGTAAAGGGGACATGTTCCTCCACACAAAAATAATAATAATAAAAAAAACAGAACCTCCCCCCCCCCCAACAAAACAAAAACAAAACAAATCAATGTCTCTTCTCTTCATTTTGTCCATATAAATATCTCCAAGAAATTTCCCCCCTCTACCACCCAAATTAAAAAAAGGGAAAAACAAAAGAAAGAAGGGGGAGGCGCATGTGGAACTAAAGGAGGCTGGTCAAGGGGCCGTGGGGGGGGGAGAGGCTGGAGAGGCCAGTCCAATGTGCTTGTTGCCCCCCCTCCCACCCCTCTGTCTACTCCTATTGGGAGCTGGCACGCTCCAGCACACGCAGGTCATAGTTCTTTTTGGCCATACGCAACTTGAAGCAGTTAAGAGAGTTGTTGAGATGCAGGGATGCGTTTTGGGCTGCCAAAGGGCTGGGGAAGACGGCCACGATGGTGTATAAGGCAGCGAGGTCAGAATTCCTGCCGTTCTCTGCAGTCCCGTGGTTATTGTCGCCCCCGCCCCCAGGACGCCCCTGAGTTTCTTTGAGCCACTGGATTTTGGCACCAGACATGGCTAACTGGGTGAAGAGCTTGTCGGCCTCGGTACGTGTGATCCCTTCAGGCAGGTCAGTAACTTCCAAGATACGGCCCAACACTGTTGGAAGAGGCAGCCGGAGCAAAGAGGAAAGAAGAGAAATATGGTTAGTATCTTCCTCTTGGGGGGGGGGGGAAGCAAGAGGCTGAACAAAAACGTTAGGTGATTTCAGCTTCTGTTAAGTTACTAACTTTCTAGATCTCTACCTCTCCCAGGCCAACAGTCTCCCAGGACTGAATTCTTTGTCTTTTAGAGCTTTTGGCTACTGGCCCTGGAAAGAGAATCTAAGGACCATGGAAAGTTAGTTTTAGAAATCCCACTTTGTTGAAAGCGAAGGAGTAACTTCATCACTTATTACCTCCTTTGAGGCATGTGCCTTAAGTCAAGCAAGCAAGGCTGAGGATCTCCTTTGCTACATTGCTACAGTAGAGCCTGTTTAAATGAAACCCTTCCCCCGCCCCCAGCCATATTTCCACGTATCAAATTGCTTTCGTCAGACTTTGTTTATTATCAATGATCTCAGTCCCTCAGCAACATCTGCAAAACACTACACCAACCCTCCCTTTTTTGGGAAACTATTCCAGCATCTCAGCCAGTTCCTCTCCATCTGTTTCATCATATTAGACATTAGTAGGGGTAGCCAACTGTGGAAAAGCACAAGAATGTAATGAGTTTTTTGTGTTTTGTTTTGTTTTTTCAGAAACAAGACAAAATCATTTTTGTTCTATCCGAAGGCATGGGATCCATTGCAGAAAGCTGATTTCTAATCAAGTCCAGCTGGGTGCTGATTGGTAATGAGTTCCTATTTGCCAGTACACTAAACATACCATGAACATGCTCTAGGCAGCCAGCTGATCGTATAGTTAGAACCATGCGGGATGGGCAATCAGGTTTAGAGAAGATAATACTGCTAACTTCACGTACGATCCATATCAAACAACATCAGCACTGATGCTTTTAGTTTTTATGAGCACCGTTTTGTCTATTGCCTTCAAATACTTTGATGGCAATGTTGCAAAGCAGATCACAAACGAAGGAGACCTATTCAAGCAATCACTCATCTTAATCAGATACAATATGTTACATGCTGCTGCAGAGATGCCTAATCTGAGGCCACAGGACTACCCATGACCGCAAAATAACTTGGGCATCATCTCTGGAGACCCATCATCACCAGGTTATTATCTAATTATCAATTAAAATCCTACAGAAAATGAAAAACGCACACAGCCCTCATCTTCAAGGACATTCTGAAACCTCCATGAGTTGACAGGATCAAAGAGCCTGCACAGAGGGGCACATGCACCCTTAAAAAGCCCATCATCAAAGATCTATGCCAATGGCTTGATCTAATCTGGTTGTCCTTTTTTTTTTTTTTTGAGATTCTCATGGATACATTCCTGTACTCTGTGTACTGCATTCCCCTTTTGGGGTTTACAAAAGGAGGAAGAGGCGGGAATGGGCTGATCAATGCAGACACTCAGATCCCTTGGGCGCATTTGGTTGCAACAGAATATTGAAACTTGTTGGCTTGAGACCTGTTGCTGGGTGACTGGGTGACTGGTTAAATGGAGCCCTGGTAGCATGGCTGGCTCAGGAATTCTGGGAGTCCACGAGTCATAAAAGAGCCAAGGTTGCCTACCCCTGCATTATGCTAAAATGCAGTAGAAACAATTTAAAATGGAACTGGTTAAAATGTAATTTAAAATAAAATAAAAAAATAAAATTCAATTATTGGGATAAAATACAGCAATTTAATATCTAGATAGATAAAATATGATAAAATTATATTTCCCTATCACCGTGTATGCTATCTTTTCAGCACCAGGCAAGGAGGTCTAAAGCTTATGGGCCTCTTCATCTATCGTTCTGTTAACTGTAAATTCAATGCTGTAATAATATTTGTAAGTATCTAATTGCGGATTTTTATTTTATTGTGTGCTTTAATCATCATTCTAATAATTTAAATTACAAGTATACGGTAAACGATCTAGCAAAATCTGGTTTTTGAAGGGGATTATACACAGAATTTACAAAAACAAAGAAAAAAAAATTGAAAAGAAAAATATTTTCCAAATAATGTATTACAGGTAGTCCTTGACTTACGACTGCAATCGAGCTTCAAATTTCTGCTCCTAAGTGAGACATTTGTTAAGCGAGTTTTGCCTCATTTTACGACCTTTCTTGTCACCATTGTTAAATTAGTAATATGATTGTTTAGTGAAACTGGCTTCCTCATTGACTTTGCTTGTCAGAAGGTCACAAAAGATGAATACATCACCCCGAGACACTGCAACCGTCATAACTATGAATCAGTTGCTAAGCATCCAAATTTTGATCACGTGACCATGGGGATGCTGCAACAATTATAAGTATTGAAAATAGTCATAAATCATTTTTTTTCAGTGCTGCTGTAGCTTCAGTCACTAAATGAACTGTTGTAAATTGAGGACTACCTGTATTACAGAGGTAAATCACAGTGTTATAGATTAGCGGGGGGAGGGGGGAGAAATGATAGGAAAATACTGAGATTTAAATATATACAGGCTATATAAATGTGACAGCTTCTTAAACAATTCTGGGGAATGCAGTTTGGTGGGATGCTTCTAACCCAGTGGTTCTCAACCTGTGGGTCGGGACCCCATCTGGGTCGAACGACCATTTCACGGGGGTCGCCAAACAAGGCTGTCCGCCATTTTTTTCCCCTTTTCTTTGGCCACGCCCCTGGCACCCAGTGATGTATAAGTGGTTGGGGGTCACCACAACATGGGGAACTGTATTATGGGGTCACAGCATTAGAAAGGTTGAGAACCACTGTTCTAACCACTCCACTTTAAATACAATTCTCCCAATGTATTCACGAGAGAATGATTGATGCAAAACATTTATAACGCCCACCCCCCCAAACAAACCCTTTCTTTATAGATGGTTCATAAAAAAAAAATCTTATCAAGTTGGAAATTAGTATCAGAGGATGACTGTGTGGGTATGCATCTTGATCAGTATCTAATCTATATTACTCCATATCCCTAAATAAAAGACTCTGCTGGGAAAAGATGTCGTAAGCAGACAAGGAAATTTCCCTACAGTCAGCTGAATAATTTTTACACTGAATCATTTTTCGCAAGGGTTCTGTGCTCAGGACATTAGTCCCACTGACTAAGTCCCTTGGCAGCATATCTGAATGTGTGTGTCTCAAGTATGGGAGCATCATAGCAGTTCCAGTTTCCAGTTAGTAGGAGCGCTGGGTCTTGGCAGGCAGGATTCTTTGCTAATATTACACAGGTATGTAACAAATATAGCCCCAAACAATTTTCCATTGGAGAGTGCAAACAGAGTGGCTTAAAGGAACAGCTCTAGTTTGTTTATGGGGATAATTTCAGCACCCCTCCTCAACGATTGACATGGGAACTTTTTTTTTTTTTTGCTACTTAGCCTGCCTTACACAGATCAAATTTGCTTACTATTTCCAAAAATGAACAAGACTCCTGAATGGTTAGTTTCACATGGCCAACTTCCTGAAAGTCCGCATTATTACTTTTTTTTTTTTTAAAGGCATCTGCAGAAGAAAATGAGTGGGCTGAGTGTCTATAAACCCTGTACTCTTAAGAGAGAAAAGACAAGCGTGTAAAAGGTTGGCTCTATTAGACCTGCATTTTTTTTTTGGAAGCTTGAAGAAATAGTGGCACTATGCTGGAAGCACTGTGGGATGCCAATGCAACAGATTTTGCTATTTGCTGTTGCTGTCAGGCAAGCCCATTAGGACTCACCCAGAAGAGGGCACCTGAGACATTTGTTGAGGTGAGAGGCCCAACAAAAATTATGAGTAGCACCGGAACGGATCAGACATCCTGCAGCACACTTACATCTTCAGATGCAAAGTGTAGAACAGGTACTCCTTGACTTGCAACTAGAATTGAGCCCAAGATTTTTCAAGTGCCGTTGTAACTTCGAACAGTCACTAAACAAACTGTTGTAAGACAAGGACTACACCTCCATAAAAAACCAGTTTACTGTTACCAAACTCAAAGGCATGATCAATCATGAGTTTGGAGTCCAAGCTTTGGTGAAAGTAAGACAACAGATCTTCACAGCCAAATGGCAGAGGACAAGCCTACATCAATTTGATCTTTTCACGTCAGATTAAACCTGGCCATGCTGGCTAGGAATTCCTAGAGTTGGGATGTTCTAGTTCTAGATGGCTACTATAATGGGACTGGGGAGCTGCCACTTGCCTACATCACTTGTCCCAAGATCTGTGGATGCTGACTTGAGAGCTTGCTTCTTACTTCGGTTGCCATGCTTCATCCCTGTTTGTGCCTGTGATGGAAGAGCAAAAGAATAGTAACGTAGATACACAAATATGCTACCCTTCACATTTTTATGCTGGAATTTATTCCAGGAGCTGGTGCTACATCCTGGAAAGTTTAATCTCACATGTTCTAACCCAGGGCTTTTCAACCTTTTCACAGACTGTACTACTTTTAGGACATGACAATATTTGAGTACCACCAGTGCTTAGCAAGGTGTCAAAAACTTGATAACTAAAAAAAAAAGGGGAGGGGTATGATTTTGGGTTTTACTGATTAGATTCATTTATTGTTATAGAAATGGCTAGTTTATAATATTATGGAAAAGTAAAATGTTGAAGTTTAGTATTAATGCTTCCTTCTACTGCAACAGAGGAAGTCTGTTCTTTTTCCCTTCTCCCCCTCACTTTTCCCCCCTTTTTCCTCCCCACTGTGTCCTACTATTTGCTTTTGTATTTTTGTATTTTATTCTATAATGTAATAAAATATTACAAACTGTAGAAAAAAAGAAAAAAGTACCAGTTTTAATTTTTTCGGTAGCTATTCCTTTGCTGAATCATTTTTCCTTTGCACTGACAAATGTATGATGAATTTTTCCATGTTTATTAATATGTACCACTACCAGCTAGCTCAGGGGTCTTCAAACTTGGCACTTTTAAGACTTGTGGACTTCAACTCCCAGAATTCCTCAGCCACCATGACTGGATGAGGAATTCTGGGAGTTGAAGTTCACAGGTCTTAAAGTTGCTAAGTTTGTAAACCCGAGCTAGCTGGTTAGCCCTTCTTCCTCTCTCCCTTCTGAGCACTTTCTACAGTGTAGTAAGAATGCACCCCCACAATCCCTCCCCTGTACCCTTAAAGACACAGGAATCAAGTGCAAAGCAAGAAAGGCTCACAAAATAAACACATAAACTCCAGGTTTCTTTTCTTTAAGCTGCCTCAGGCATGTTACATGTCACAATGTTGCAATCCGAGACTGAAAGGCTCTGGCAAGTGAGAAAAGCTTTAGCCTTAAATTAAGTCTGTTTACCTTCAAAGAAAACTTTCTTAAAAGCCATAGACAGACTCAAGATAAGGGGGTAAAACTAATTACATTTGTTTAAAGGGATTAAACCTATGGAAATCAACACTTTAGACTCATTGCTAGCCTAAAATACAGACTAAAATATTCCAATAACCAAAGCACACAAACCGAGCCTCTGAATTACAAAACTCTGTAAAAACTGTACAAAATCCTTATGATAACCCAATCAAGTTGCCAGCTGATCCAAAATTAAACAAACCCACCTCCTTTCTGACATGCTCGTCTGCCAGCTTTTAATTTCATCAGCACTGACTGCATTCTCCTGGCTGGAGAAAATGAACCAGGGGACCTTTTCTTCCAGCAACAGCTGCTTCTTCTCTGTCCCTGTTTCAGCCCTGCCTGCTGAGCTCCTTTTATAGCTTCTCCTCTCCTCCCTCCCCTTTTTCTTCAGTTCACCTCCAGCTCCCTGCGGCTTCTGGAAGCGCCAATCAGCTGGAGTCCTGCCAGCTCCTGGGGCTTCTGCCTAGCCCAGACAGTCCTGCAGCTGCTTCTCCCTCAGGCTTGGGTCACTTCAGCTCATTCCCCTCCCTCACTATACTTCTCTGGGACGGTTGCATACCACCTGCCATGTGGCAAAGTACCACAGGTGGTACGTGTACCACCGGTTGAAAAGCCCTGTTCTAACCAATGGGTCAGTCCCAGCTAGGTCTGAAAAGGAGCAATTTTGCTAAATGAAATTTAGCAGGCTTGGAATTGAACGGGAGATTTTGCATTGTGCACCCCTTTGAGTCTCACTACTGAAAAAGGTGAATTTTAAAGGACAACAATGGTTTTACTGAGCCATCACCACGGTCATCAGTAATAAACAAACACAGCCAATTACAAAACAGATCTATGGAATGTTTTGACCTGTGTTTATTTAACATCTACGTTCTGTATTATTCACTTATTTTTCAGCACGAAGTAAGATCTTGGAATACTGGTTTCTGTTTTGACAGAGTCAGACCTATGAACTTTTACTAAGTACACCAAGAGTTTTAACAGCATGTGAGGGCCAGGAGAGAGAATGCTTGCACCCATTTGCCAGAATACATACTACACTCAGCAGCCATTCTCTTTATCTTTTGGATAAAGAGCAGGAATAGGCAGTCACACGTCCATATTAAAATATTGGGCCGCAACTACCTAGGAGTTTTTTTGTTTTTGTTTCTTTTTTTTTTTGCGCAATGTCTACCAGACAATGTGGAACCCAGAACAATTCTTGGAAACAAAGATAGCAGAGGATGATTGCTTGCTGCTACAGCATGACTGCTTCCTATTTTTGAAAAGTGGAAAGAGTCTTAAGAGGATTCTGTTGGGAAAAATTGGTTGATAGCAATATTATTTAGGCTTATATACTGCTTCACGATGCTTTACAGCACTCTAAGCGGTTTACAGATTCAGCATATTGCCCCCCCCCAACAATCTGGGTCTCATTTTACCGACCTTGGAAGGACGGAAGGCTGAGTTAACCATGAGCTGGTGAGAATCAAACTGCTGGCAGTTGGCAGAATTAGCCTGAAATACTTCATTCTAACCACTGCGCCACCATGGCTCATCTAATGTCAAGAAGGTCTATAGCTAATCTCTTAAAGGAAAAAAGACCCTCTCAAATTTTGACCACTCAGCTGAGAAATGCTTCCTTGAAGCCTCGAGCTCTGTCTCCGCTCACCTGGTGTGCGGTATAGCTGGACTGGTTGTGCAAGAGAGGTGGGGGGCAAATGGAGAGATTGTACTGCAGCGGCTGGCCCAGCAAGGAATAGCGCCCATCACCTGGGGGAAAAAAGAGACCAAGAAAAGTTAACTGATGGCCCCCCGACTCTCTTTTTGTATCATAAATAAGGATGGGGGAGGACACAGAGAGTATAATAATCAAATGTGGACAATCTTTTCTAAGTGAAATTTAGTGATCTCATGATATTCCAGCTGTTTAACTATGCATGTGACTGGGGACTGGCAGTGTCTGTTGGGCACATTGGTATGATCTTAATCAATCTTCTCTTCTTTATTAAGAGGAATTTTTCCTTGTCTATAAATCGATGGGCAAACAGTTGAAAACATACCTATTGACAGGTAAAATGCCTATGTTCTTAGTCAGGCAAAGATTCAGCTGCAAGTATTTAAACTGCATTCATTGGAAGCTCCAAGTATTATCAGAGAATATTGGGATTGTTCAGCATCACAGTATAAAACCACAGGGAACTGCTCTGTGGTTTTCTAAAGGTTGGGCATTGTAATTTGCAGTGAAACTACCTTAATCAGAAACTGTAAAAGGTGCTACTGCTACTGACACATTGGCAAATAGGACACCAAGCAAAAAGGGAAGACCAAAATCACTCGTATGGAATCGCCCTTTATTCTAATGCAAACACAATGACTAATCTTCATTTTGATAAATTTATTGTGATAAATTCTCTCCCACTACCTTTGTTACCTTGTGCTGGGCCCACAGGCCGGGGGAACTGTGTGAGCACCGGAAGGGGACTGAGACCTGTGCAGACACTGTTGAGGCTGGTAACGGGCGATGGTGTAGGGGACTGCGTGGGCGATGTGATAGGGCTATTCAGCTGGGTGCTGCTGGCCTAGAAACGGGGGAACAAAATCAAAAGGCTAGTCACAGGCTTGCATTAGCACAACTACTGACAATCTTTTTTTTTTCTCTCTCTCTCTCTCTATTCCAACGGGCCCCTTCCCCATCACCCTACCTGAGCACTGGTGTCTGGATTATAGATGTCACCAGGCTTCTGACTTCGCTGGTCTAAACTGTAGTACTTGCAGTGGTTCCATTGCACCATGGATGAATTCTGAGGAGGTTGGGGGCCATTGGGCACATTGAGTTGCATGACCACAACACCAGGCCCTGCCGGAGATACCCCTAAGAAGAGAAAGGAGAAAAAAATGATCGGATCATTATGGACATTGTGTCAAGCATCAACCTTCTTGGTCTCTTTTCCAGCCTCTTCTCCTTGGAATATCCTCTCCAAGGAGAGGATCACAAGAGAAGCTTCATGGGAACTGATTTTTAACAGAAGCAATTCCTGGCTTATGGCACCAGGACTGCTTGAGCAAGTCAACTTTCGTATAGTTTGCCTGTCATATTTGCATATGCATAAAATGGCAGTTGTCTTTCTGGATGTATGTAAAGACTCTCAAGCTTTTTTTTTTTTGCAAGTGCTAATATGTGGCCCATGTTTTATGTTCCTTGTACACATGTAAACTCATGTAAATTGGCTTAACCCAGAGACGACTAGTACTAGCATTTCATCATCTTATTAATGTACATGGCCGTTTATGTTTCAGAGAACTACATAAGCAATAAAACTAATTACTTAAAATAAATTACTTCTCAGAAATCTTATGAAATAAATGTTAAAAGCATGGGGGGGGGAGAAAAAAGCAATGTTCTAAAAGGTCTAAAAATGAGGCATAATGTATGATTAGGCACATTAAATGAAGAATGCAATCATGGACAGAAATATTCTGATTTACAAGCCTTATTATTACTGCTACTATTACTTCCATTGTGTCCTTTCTCCTGGAGCCCAAAGTAGAATTAAAAGCTTTCATAAAATGATGTTTTAGAAAATCATTTCATTTAGAACAATGAGCAATAAACCAGACTGGTCAACTGCCATAGACCAATCTTCCTTAACCTGGTGTGCCCCCCTCTGGTACATGCTGGGACTGCACCTCCCAACATTTTCAAAATACTATTTATTTTATTTTTATTTTATTTATGAGACTTATATACCGCTTTAAGTGCAAGCACTCTCTAAGCGGTGTACACCAGTAAGCAATGTATATATATATTTACATTGCCCCCAACAATCTGGGTCCTCATTTTACCTACCCCGGAAGGATGGAAGGCTGAGTCAACCTTGAGCCGGTGAGATTTGAACCGCTGACCTGCTGAACACAGTCAGCTAAAGTGGCCTGCAGTACTGCACTCTAACTGCTGCGCCACCTTGGCTCACTAGTTAATTATGTCGATGCAGATTCTCAGTCATCCAGTAGAGTTGTCTGGAAGTTGAGTCATGGCAACTGGATTTCTTTTTTTTTGTTTGTTTGAAATGTTTCATTGCTTATCCAAGTAGCTTCTTCAGTCTGAACAAGTTGGTTAGGGAGACCCCCATATATGTCCTCCAGGATGGTTTCATTTCTCACCTAATCTTAATAGGCTGATAAAAGAAACATTTCAAACTGAAAAGAAAAGCTGCTATGATTCAACTTCCAGAATACTAATTAATCTGGAAGAGCCTTAAAACATCTGAATGGTGCTAGGCTGGGAAGGGTACACAGGTAAGGTTACCATGGGCAGGCAACCTTGGCTCTTTTATGACTCATGGACTTCAACTCCCAGAATTCCTGAGCCAGCATGTTTGGCTCAGGAATTCTGGGAGTTGAAGTTCACGAGTCACGAAACAGCCATGGTTGCCTACACCTGGGTTAGACAGAAATGAGCTACTCCTGTTTTGGCTCTAGAGTTATCACGGGCAGCAGTAGCCAATGACACCACTTTAATCAACACTCATTTCAAAGATGAAAAAAGAGGAAGAGAGACAGGGACTCACCACTGGATATAGAAAAGTTTCTAGATCAGTCATGACAAGCCTATGGCATGCATGATAAAGGACACACCATAACATTTTGAGTGACATGTCAGCATTCACCAACACTTGACAAGTATTCACGAAAGTGTGTCCTGTTATGCCATTTTGGGAGGCTGTGGAGAACTTGTCAGAATGGGGTGTGCTCTCACGTGGCCTTTAGAACTGAGTGTGAGAGGATTATACTCAAGCTTCAAGAGACCCTGAAAAATGTGTGAGAATGGGGCTTGCTTTGAGGCAGTTTTTGGAGACTGCAGAGGCTGCGTGAGAATGGGGTAGGCCAGGGGTAGGCAACCTTGGTTCTTTTATGAATTCTGGGAATTGAAGTCCGTGAGTCATAAAAGAGCCAAGGTTGCCTACCCCTGGAGTAGGCGTTTGTCTCAAAGGTGTTTTGTTTTTTTTTCAAAAGGCAATTGGACAGTTTTTTTCTTGAGGAAGAAAAAAATGTTTCACTTCTCATCCAAGTCCAACTCACCTTTTGAATAAAACATCTTTGAGGCAACTATGACCTGGATGACTGGGAATCTCCACAGATAATAGGCTTTGTGGGGCCTCTGGACCCTGTCAGAAATTGCCCAAAAGAACCGTGCTTTTGTACAGCCTCCAAAAATGGCCCAAAGACAGCTTTCAAAGGCTGCACAAGAGCATTTGAAAACAAAGAACCACCACCTGAAGGTAAGCAGTAGATACTGGGGAACACACACAATTAGAATGTATTTTTTAAAAATAAACAAGTGCGTAAAAATTGTTTCTCTTTTGTTTCGGGGGGGGGGGGTCTGACATGCCAATTAGGCATTTTCTGAATATTTGACATTCTGAGCCCAAAAGCTTCCCATCACTGTTCCAGGTGCTTTTGATGCAGAGTTTCTGTCGCTCTCCGCGGTCCTGCTCAATGAAGCTGCTTCCCAGGGCCAGAAGAATTCTAAGTACAGTACGTTAAACTAACTGAAAACTCACTTAAAAAGTAAAACTAATTGCCCAAGATGGGTGACGGGAGCAACTTTATCTCCCCCAAGATTCAAAATTCAACTTCTTTTTCCAGATTCTTTAACAAGAAGCAGAAGAAACATAGCCAGCCATTCACACGTGCAGACAGGGTAAAGGATCTGGAATTGCATAACTTTCAAGGCTGATTCTCATATACAAGGAAAAAGCAGTCAGGGAGGAGAACAACCGGGCTTTCACAAACAGCTTTCATTTTGTAGGCTTTGGGTAAGCTTTTGAAATTGATTATATCTTACTGATGGAATATAACATTCAGACTGGCCATTTGGGGCATATGGTAGATCTACAGCTTTGGGGCCGTGAAACTGGCTCCAGCCAAGAGTGTGAAGACACTCACTCTCTGTTTGCCTGGGAAATGGTGAAACTGCACTTGACCTAGAAACCTTCTCACTTCACTACCTAACTGCAATGACTTTAAACACACACACACACACACACACACACAGAGAGAGAGAGAGAGAGAGAGAGAGAGAGAGAGAGAGAGAGAGAGAGAGAGAGAGAGAGGAGGCAGACAGGAAAACAGCTGGGTGAAAGCTACAGGGATAAAACCAGATGGGCCCCATTCAGCAGAGAAATTACTGCTGCTCAACAGAAGTGGAAATGGTGATCTTCCCAGACCCGCTCGCTTCAATGCCACAGTGAGAAAAATGATTGCTAAGTTAAAATCTTCCTCTGCTGTCAAACACAAGGAAAATCAAAAGGATAAAGTGCTACACTTATATTAATTTACAACCCCAGGAATGATTCCAAGATGCTGTTTCTGCTTGCTGCCAGAGACTAGACTTTACTTTTTATTTATTATTGAAAACCTGTAATTACAATTGACCTTATTCATTAGATTTGGCAGAGGGCCATGATGACCAAGAACGTCTTCTGAAAAAGACCCCACAAAGGACACAATTAATAGAGGCCCATTGTGATGCCTTGTTTGGATTGGAGACAGCTTTAGTTCCTTCTTAGCTTGTAATGTACTACAGGTGTTTTTCAAAAGGATTCAGAAACTTTAGCTAATCCAGAACACCACAGATCAACAAGAGCTAATTGTAAGGGGAATGATTGGGCATTTATACTAAACAAATGGGTATAAGCTATTTCTCTACACAGCCTCATTGGCTACTAATCAGTTTCCAGGCATAATACGGAGCATTCCTTAGGATTTAATATGACTCGATAATTTTGGGCAAAGATCTGAAGAACACATTAATTTCCATCTCAACTGACGTGAATGCAAGAGAAGGCTTCCTTTGTCACTGTTTCCAAACTCTGGAATTCTTTGCCAAGGAAGGTCAAGGTAGCTCCTTCCATTAATAACAACAACAACAACAATAATAAAAATAATACAGCTTCAGATCATCCATGTAAAGGAGATGGGACATCTGCCAGACTATCCCATCTCCTTTACATGGATGATCTGAAGCTGTATGGAAAAACATCATCTGAAATAGAATCGCTGCTCAACACTGTCCGTATATATAGCCAAGATATTGTAATGGAGTTTGGCTTGGACAAATGTGCCACACTTACTATCAAACAAGGAAAAATAGTGAAAACTGAAGGAATCAAGATGCCCCACGAAAATAACATTAAGAGTCTGGATGAGGAAGATTACTACAAATACTTGGGTATCCTTCAAGCTGACAACATCAAGCACACTGAAGTCAAGAAAAAGATTAGAGGTGAATACATCAAGAGAGTGAAGAAGATCTTAAAGTCCAAACTCAATGAGGAAATACCATAAAGGCAATCAACACCTAGGCAATTCCAGTCATTAGGTACACAGCTGGAATAGTGGACTGGACTCAAGCAGAACTAAAAGCAATGGATAGGCAGACCAGAAAAATAATGACAATGAATCATGCCCTTCATCCACGCAGTGACATTGATAGACTTTATCTACCAAGGCAAATAGGTGGGCGTGGAATGCTACAAGTACATCAGATGGTTGAAGAAGAAAAAATGGCTTTGGAAGAATATCTGAAGAACAATGATGAAGATGCACTGAAATTAGTATATCAGGAAGGCTTACTAACTACTGGAGAGACCAAACTGGCCTACAAGAAAGACCAAATGAAGAACAGAATAGAGGCATGGGAAGACAAAGCACTACATGGCCAATACATGAAAAAAATAGCTGGGAAAGCAGATAATAATAAAACCTGGCAATGGCTAAGAGCAGGAAAATTGAAGAAAGAGACCGAGGGACTAATTCTGGCTGCACAAGACCAAGCCTTAAGGACAAATGCATATAAAGTCAAAATTGAGAAGACAGCAACAGACAGTAAGTGCCGCCTATGCAAAGAAGCTGAAGAAACAGTGGACCACTGGTAAGCTGTTGCAAGAAGATTGCACAGACTGGCTACAAGCAGCGGCATGACAAAGTAGCAACAATGGTGCATTGGAAGATCTGCAAAAATATCATTTGCCTGTAAGCAAAAACTGGTGGGATCATAAAATAGAGAAAGTCATAGAAAATGATAAAATTAAACTGCTCTGGGACTTCAGAATTCAAACAGACAAGCACCTGCAACATAACACCCCAGACTTAACAATTGTCGATAAGAAAGACAAAAAAGTCTGGATAGTGGATGTGGCAGTGCCTGGAGATAGCAGAATAGAAGAGAAAGAACTGGAGAAGATAACAAAATACAAAGACCTACAAATAGAAATAGAAAGACTGTGGCAAAAGCAAGCAAGGGTAGTACCAATAGTATAGGCTCCTTGGGTGCAATCCCAAAACAACTGGAGCACCACTTGAACACCATTGGCATTGACAAATTCGCTATTAGTCAATTGCAAAAGGCAGCCTTATTAGGAACTGCTTCCATCCTGCGACGATATCTGTAATACCATCAAACATCCACATCTGCCTATCCCAGGTCCTGGGTAAGGACTCGATAGGTAGACAAAATGTCAAATCCAGTCTGAACATCTGGCTGACTGTGCGATGATCCATAATAATAATAATAATAATAATAATAATAATAATAATAAATAAATAAATAAAAAACCATGTCCTTGGTAAGGACTTGATAGGTAGGCAAAATGCCAAATCCAGTCTGAACATCTGGCTGAATGTGCGATGATCCATAATAATAATAATAATAATAATAATGACGATGACAATAATAATAATAGTAGTAATAGTAGTAGTAGTAAAGTTGGAAGGGACCTTGGAGGTCATCGAGTCCAACCCCCTGCTCAGGCAGGAAACCCTATACCATTTCGGACAAATGGCTGTCCAGTCTCTTCTTAAAGACTTCCAGTGTTGGAGCATTCACCGCTTCTGGAGGCAATTTGTTCCACTGGTTAATTGTCCTAACTTTCAGGAAGTTTCTCCTTAGTTCTAGGCTGCTTCTCTCCTTGGTTAGTTTCCAATCATTGCTTCTTGTCCTGCCTTCAGGCACCTTGGAGAATAGCTTGACTCCCTCTTCTATGTGGCAGCCCCTGAGATATTGGAACACTGCTATCATGTCCCCCCTTGTCCTTCTCTTCGTTAAACTAGACATACCCAATTCCAGCAGCCGTTCCTTATATGCTTTAGCCTCCAGTCCCCTAATCATCTCTGTTGCTCTTCTCTTGTTGGGCCATAGGTGACCTCTATCAACCTAGCTCCAATAGGTTTTACAGGAGGCAGGTATATTGTATGCAGACCAATCACTGTCTCCCAGGTTTGCTGTTTCCATTGGTAAAGTATCTGGTCTTACCTGAATACTGTTGTTGCATCTGGGGTGGGCTGCAAGGAGAAGGGGACTGGGGCATTTGGTACTGCTCTGTACCTGGAGGCTGCAAGAAGCCAACAGAAGGGCTAGAAAAAGAGAGAGAGAAAATAGATCAATTAGAGCAGGTGACCATCATGATGGAGATAACGCTGTATTTCTACTGAGAGAGGACCATTCCTAAGGCTCATTTTCCTCAGTGATTTTTTACCAGTCTAATGCTATTTAGTTGATTTCAATTAAGGGGATGCTTATTCAGTGCTTCAGAAAATAGGAACAATATACACACAGTATTTCCTCTTTCTCTAGCTCAGTGATTCTCAACCTGCGGGTTGGGGTTGAACGACCATTTCACGGGGGTCGCCAAACAAGGCTGTCCGCCATTTTTCCCCCTTTTCTTTGGCCACGCCCCTGGCCCCCGGTGATGTATAAGTGGTTGGGGGTCACCACAATATGGAGAACTGTATTATGGGGTCGCGGCATTAGAAAGGTTGAGAACCACTGCTCTAGATGCTAGTATTGGGTTTATGACAGAGGGGTCTATCAATATAAAAGGGGATTAGTTAGATCAGAGTTAGCCAAGTGAAAACAGGTAGCCAACCAATCTGCTGAGCACAAAAGCTGAGGCTAAAATTTGATCTTCAGATGATTCAACCAAGTAAATCTTGACTGGGATTTATGCTAATTCTGAGCAGCTTGTGCATTTTCAGGACACAAATACTAGCAATCTTTTAAGATTGTGGATGCTTCTAAAAAAATCAACGAGGGCTGGAGCAGGATGTTTTTGCTTTGTACTCAAGAGGAGCCAAAAGAGAAAACTGGTAATCTCTACTGCTTAAAACTAGAATTTGCAGAAATGAAAAATTGTGTACAACTATGGTAAATATGCCAAAATAAATAATATTGCTTCACAGAAGCTTTCAAGCTTGATAGATTTGTGAGAACTGTAAACAATCCTCTCCTGACCTCTTTTTAGATGGCCTTTCAGTTATAATTCATCATTGGGTTAAGCTGTATACAGTACATTACTTTGGAAATTTCTTTTTAAACGGAAGTATAGCCTACAAAAAACTTTTAGTATATGCCCACAAATTTACTCTGGCCTTGCACTTTACTGTAATTCTGGAAGATTTTTCTCTTTCTGCTTTTCTTTCTCTGTCTCCCTCTCCTTCCTTCCTCCTCCTCTTCCTCCTCCCATCCCCCCCCCCCTTTGCTGGACTAGAATGTGGGAGACTGTGAGTTCAAATCCTTCCTAAACCATGGAAATGGCCTAGTCACTCTCTCTCAACCCAAATCATTTTGTGGGGGGTTATTGTGAGAGAAATAGTAAGTTGGATTGTTATGTACGCAACCCGCATTTACACAAAATAAAGGCAAGGTTTAAATCTGGTAACTAAATAAATAAACCAGTTCCTTTTTTATAAAAATCACGAACCTGAATTCTGGTAATAAAACTCTCAAGTTAATTCGCATTGCCTAAAACGAATAAAGCCCCCTCCATTAATCTAATGCACACCAAGGTTGTTTTTTTTTTTAACAAATAAAAAAAGCTGATCTATCAAGGAGATTCTTAGGAAAAAAAAATAACGATCCTGAATGGACATCTTCACAAAACATAAGGGGGTTAAGTAGAAATTTGGCTCCTGCTCATACCTGGTGCCATTCTGCTGGGTTGGGGGGATAACACTGTAATAGACCGACATCCCTCCGGCCTGGAGCCCTCCTTGCACAGACTGGTTTGCTGGTACCAGCACAGGCTGCTGAAAGGGTTGCTGGACTACGGCTTGAGAGTCATTCGCCACTGGCACCTGCTTGGGATATTAAAAGGCAGAAAGGAGAGAATGAAGGTGAATATACGGGTCCCAGGATAATATTGCGTGATCCGATCTGGGTCACTCACCGGGACCCGAGGTTTTGTCTTCCAAGCTTTTGGACACATGCTGGAGTCTCATCTTCAGCTCCCATCCCATTCTTCAGAATATGGGCTCCAGCACGAGTCCAGATAAAGTTCAGAAGGCAAAACCTTGGGTCCCGGTGGCCGACCCAGACTGGATCTTGCAGAAAGGAGAAAGAGTACATGATCTTGGAGGAAATGCCAAAAGGTCTTGAAAGGAGACCTGAATATAGACCAAGAGCAGGGAAAAATATCAGGCTCCTCTTTTTTTGGGCTAGAACAGGGGTCCCCAACCCCCGGTCCGTGGACCGGTACCGAGTCGCAGCATGCCAGCAATTGGTCTGCACAAACAAGCACAGCCCCATCTGTGGGATGCAGGCAGCACACAAAACCACGTACTTTCCGGTCTGCGGAAAGACCTCTCTCCACGGAACCGGTCCCTGGTGCCCAAATGGTTGGGGACCTCTGGGCTAGAAGACCTCCAAGGTCCCTCCAACTATGTTATTCTTAGTCCTCTCCAATATCAGACTCTATATAACCTCTACAGTTTCCCCTTTCAGCCTCTACAGCTCTGGAAAGATTTGTGATTTGGCAGGAATTATTCTGTGGTTTTTTGTTTGTTTGTTTTTAAAAAAAGAGACCTTAAACCACAGGGGCAAAAAGCACACTATACTCAACATGACACTGCAAACTCATCTGCCATCCCACTCTTCCACATTCTCTTTTTCAGGGTCTTGTGAGCTCTTATTTTTTTCAAGTCTTATCCGGGAACAAACTCCAATTTATGAAAACTCAGCCTATCAATGCCTTATTTGCTGCCTTAAAAAATACAACTCTTCTCCAATAACTACTGTAGTTGTCAGGAATCGTCGACTATAGAAATGGCAGTGAGCAAGTGAAATGAACCAGGTGAAAAAATTATGTTTGGGTAGCATGGGGTTCTAAGTTGAAAACTCAGGTTTGGGGAGGCATGCATCAAAACCGAGGGCTTGGTTTGTGTTGCCCTCGGTTGCCCTTGACAGCAGTGCACTTGAATATTTCTGACCCATGCAAAATTCACTTTACAGATAGACCAGGGCTCTCAAACAACCGTCCATTCAAACAAAAATGCTGAATCATCTGCAAACTGTGTATGCATATTGCATGTAGTTGGAGGTTGGGAAGCAGAAGCTCTTGCCCAAAATACAGATTTCTAATTATACATTTCTTAGACTATGCAACGAAGGTGGTTTAAGTTTTTTTCAATTTATACAATGACTAGCACACAGTTATTATCCACTGACTGAAGAACTCTTCTAGAAGTTGGTTTCCAAAAGGAAAAAATAAATTGTGGGGGAAAACAACCAGCTTATTTTTATGAGCCCTTCTAAGTGAAAATATGGAATTAGCCACTGGGATAGTCTCAGTATAAGGCTGTCTCTATTTACATTTGCCAGCAGTAGCGTGTTTTCTTTTATTGTTTCAGATCTGTTCTCTTCCACTCCCTAGCTCCTATTTTGAAGTTAGGATGGATCCCAAAACGGATTTGAAGTTCTGTCCCCATGTGCCCTCAGTCACATGACTGCATTTTGGGCACTCAACAACTGATCCACATTAATGACCATTTGCAGCACCCTGCAGTCATGTGACTTCAATTTACAACATTTTTGCCAGAAACCGGTGCTTGCTTCCGGTTTCCAGCAAAATCAACCCACAGAGAACAATGAGTTCACTTTAATAACCATGGCGTTTGCTTAAAGGCCGCCACAAACAAAGATCATAAAATTGGGTGTGGTCACATGGTAATCCGTTTTACAACTGTCACGACTTACGACTGAAATCACAGGCTTAATTATGACCGTAATTCGAGGATTGTGAATTTTGCATGAAATAACCTACCTGAATGGATTAGTTAAGTTTTGGATTCCTCAAAAAAATAAAAATAATAAAAAAAAAAATTATACCAACGGTGTTAAGAGTTTTACAGCTTTCCAGTGCAAAAATAAGCCCCACAATATGCACACATTCAAAATGAGCAGCATAGTTTAGAAAAACTTTTATCTATAAAAGATATATAAACATGATACATAACAGTTTCATTCAGCTCTGGGGAACATCAACAACTCTTCACTTGGAGATCAGGAAAAACAACACAGAGAAGGCTGGATCACATGCCTCACACAGCCAATACTGTGTCTTAATCAAAAACATTGGCTGGTTTGTTGCTAGGGCTGTTCCAGTTCATAAAATTTCTTACACAGTGACAAACTGAAGGTCTCCAAGCCATGTAAAGATTATGTCACATCCACTTCTTACATACCAGATCCCCAGTGCTATAACAGCAGAACTGTGACTTCCCTTCCCCACTCGCCATCTTTGGCACCACTTACTTGATATGAAGGCAATGGAGTGTACTGGACCATCAGGCCTTGCATCTGACTGCCCATGTTTCCTCGTTGGCTATTCAGGAGGCTCTGGTTTTGGGGCTGCTGCACTCCCATCATGCCCTGCATCTGGCTACCCATGCTACTGCGCTGGCTGCTGAGGAGACTCTGACCCTGCGGTTGCTGCACTCCCATCATGCCTTGGTATGTCTGCTGCTGATTGGACAGGATTGGCTGTAATCCTACATTGTAATAAGAGAGGAAAGATTATGACACCACAGCTGGGATCCAGAGGTGGGGTATCTCAAGCCAGCCAGTCAGCAATGGAGCACATTTGCCCTTTCAGATGGGATGGGGGAACCCTTGGAGTTTGCTCCTGAAGATTTTTTTTTTCCTCTCCAAATGGAAGGAGAGCAATCCTGAACATAATTTTATCTGCCTTAGCCACCTCCATAGCAAGGTATATCTTCTTTTTTTTCTTTAGTGCCCTTCTTAAGAATATGTAGGAAAATTGACTTAATGTGTGGATGGTGTGACCAATTCTCTGACCAGTGAACTGCACTATTATAATATGATTTTCAGAACTGATCAAATATTTAGGAATTTAAGCAGGTGGAAAGCCAAAGAAGTTCAGCTAATATGAGAGGCAAACTGCACACTGGCTGAACGCAACAGCTGCTGACAATGCAACTGTTGTGGGCTTGTCTCCCCTCTTCTCTAAAACATCTTTGCGCTGCGTGGGGTCATGACATTCTACCATTTCTCCACATCTTTCTACAGCTGACATGGAAAGAAAAAAAAATCATAAGTTACTAACTCAGGAATGGGCAGCTCATATGTGCTATTCCCCCATCCCTCACATCTTATGATGTGTCATATTGCTAAAATACAGCAATAAACTAGTTAATTTTTTCATAGCGTTTTTTTCCAACTCACCCTTCTCACTGTTACTTAGCTCATCCCCACCTGCACCCCAAAAAGCCTGAAACGAAATCAGCCCGACACCTTCTGCTGGCATCACCATTTTTCTGCAGCCGCCCCTTGCAATCCCTTACAAAGTTTAAACAGCTGACAGTAGCCTTTAACTGTTCAAATGTTGCCTACGTCTTGCAGAGGGCTTTCTCAATATGTAGCTGCCATGTTAAGCAGGTATTATGGAAACTTAAGCTGGTATTTTTTCTAATCCAGCGTGTATCCAGTTTGGCTAGGTTCATCCCGCTGAAGACACTGTATCTGTGCCTTCTTTGCAGCAAGAGATTCAAAATTCTGCAACAGCAGCAGCAGCTTGCCCTTATAGCCTTTAAAGCCAGCTTCCTATAGATTTCAACTCATACACCTAAGCAGATCCCCCTTGCTTTGTCAATTCTAGTTGACTAGTCTCTCCAAATTATTGATTTTTCAATAAGCACAGCCCTTCAGGCTTGAGTTTTTCAAATGGATGGAAATTCCATAGAAGGCAAGAGTTTAAGGCATATGCAACCTGCTCATGCCTTACAGCTGAGGTAAACTTGCCCTCACAAAGATCTTCAATCCCTCTAGGATTCAAGTCCTATAAATAGGATGGCTTCTTTGGGTTCCAAGAAAGGGCAAGATGGCTTAGCTCTCCCTGGCAATACTGAACAAGGATCAGCTCGCGCACGCACGCGCGCGCACACACACACACATACACACACACAGCCTTCTTGAATGAACGCTGCTCATCTGGAGACTTACCAGGCTGCTGGGACTGTTGCGGCAGCTGTTGGCTACGCTGGGGGCTGTAAGCCACCGGGTGAGAGAGCGGCCGGTACTGCTGGCTGGAGTTTGGATACTGCCCAGGAGGGTAGTAAGAAACCTGAATCTGTCAGAAGGATAAAGGATGTTGTCAGAGAAGAAAAACAAAGAACAAGAGGCTTCCCAGCAAGTCAAAGACAGGAGCTTTAGCAGTTAGCATCAAGAGGTCTTCACTGTTAGTAAGTGTGGTTGTGCGTTACACATAATGATGGCACATTACTAAGAGTGGGTCCAGAGGATAGGACAGAACACAAGAAAGCAAACAAGCTTCAGTGAGGGAAAGCCAGTGTCTCATTGCAATCTCCTGAAAGAAAACTCAAGTCTTACCCCTGACAACAGAAACAAAATGTATCCACACATACGTATAGATAGTCCTCGATCTACGACCTTTAATTTGAACCTGGCAATTACAGTTGTAAGTCAGGACAGCCGTAAAGTGGGTCATCACGTAACTGGACCCAATTTTATGATTTTTTTTTTTTTTTTGCGGCAGCAGCCATAAAGTGAACGGTAGCAGTCATAAAGCGAAGTTTGTGATGAGGGTGATTTTTCCCCCCCAGAAACCAGAGGTAAATGTGTTTCCAGACAAAATAAATGAAGAACCATAAATTACAGTTATGTGACCGCAGCGTACTGCAAAATGGCTGTAAATGCAGGTCAGTGCTGAGCACCCAAAATGCAGTCACAAGACTGCACGTGGGGGGAGGGGAGACATCGTAACTTTGGAACAGATCGTAAGTAGCTTTAGGGGAGGATCTGTTGGGGGGGAGCAGTTGTAAGTTGAGGACTAGCTGTATTCAAAACACTCATTCTTAGCTAAATGTCAGTGGAGATTCTCAGTCATCCATGTTTGCCCCAAAGGTGCTTTTTCAAGAGGCAACGGGACTTTCTTGTTTTTCTTCAAGTCTGAAGAAGAAGCTAAAGAAGCTTCTTGGATGAGAAGCGAAACGTCTTTCAAGAAAAACAAGAAAGTCCAGTTGGGGCTAATAATGGGACTCATTATTATTACTATTTTTAAAGTAATTTTTATTAGGGACCTTTTTTTTTTGCAAAGTAAAAACAGTAAGATTACATCATTGCTCCCTTCTTTTCATCTTCTACATTTTCTAATCATCAAACCCAAAGATTACAAGTTCATTGTTTTCAGGGGGGAAATAAAGGATTTGTAGTCATTGACAAATGTGGTTATGGTCTTTTCTCTGATTAAAAAGTCATTTTGGCCCTCTCTGCAAATTAGGTCATCATCAATCATTCCTCCCTACAGGCATTTTGGAATTTTTTTCCATCTTTTTTTTTATATAATCATCTTACTGCAGTTTCTATGTAACTATAATTATTACTTCTTCATGCTAAGCACCATTATTGCAAGATCGCATGATGCTATTGGTACCCCAGGTATATTTTATATTTATCTTTCAATAAAATATTAAAATGGCCCCAAAATAGGACCAGATTGTGTTTATTCTTGCTTGTGCTCTCACAGCTTTATGTAAGACCGCAGAATCTTGCAAGGTTTTAGTGAACTCATAAGATCACATTTGATACTTCATGTTTTTAATTTCATTTTTAAAAATTATTTAAGTTTGGGCTAACCAGAAATGGCAGATGAATGTGGAGAGAAATGTCCAGTTAAATGCAGTGCCTTGCTGCTTTATTTATTGTCCACAAGTCAGTTACTATGTGTATGCTATTCTATTAGTGTCTATTGTGCTTCTCTCCTCATTTTGGGGTGTTATTGCTGCTTAAGTGTCCCAAAATGAGTAACCTAAAGTGCCAAAGAAATGTGCTGGTGATAACATTTCAAATAAAGAAAGAAAAATATTTTTTTTTCAAATGAAGAAAAGATTGAGATTCCCATGAGTTTTGATAGGAATTAAATAATATATGATATTATACATTCTACTGGCCCACATGAGACAAGTTTTACAGCTAATTAGAAAAAGTGCTAAGAAAGTACTAGGATAATGAAGGTGTTTTAGTTCTTAAGTGCTCGGCCTCTACAATCTATTTTTTTTTTCTAGCAGCCCTGCTATTTGTATTGCAACATTTTGCATACTAGGGTTTCTAGGATCACAACTATTGTGATAAGGATTTTATAACGCTTAATGAGTAGTTCATCACCAAACAAGGATGTGTAATGATACTTTAATGTATCTATGGCTAAGAAGTGCTTACGCTAAAATTACAGTAAAAACTGTTTATGACAAACTTACATTTAGGATGGGCTAATTCAAGACATGAACTTGACATTGGCTGAGAATGTATTTGCTTGTTTGTTTGTGTGCCTTTGAGTCAGTGCTGGCATCTGGCAACTGCAGTTTTCTAGGCAAGGTTTTTAGAAATGGTTTGCTCTTGCCTCCTTCCTAGGGCTGAGAAAGAGTGACTAACCCAAGGTCACCCAGCTGGCTTTGTGACTAAGATGGAACTAGAATTCACAGTCTAGTGCCAGGCTAAAAAGCCTGGCACCTTAACAAAAAATGGTGGACAGATTATACGATGCAGTGAGAAGTAGGGATCTAAAAATTCATCTAGTAAAGAACAAAGAGAACTGAATTTGTAAGAGAAAGCAGGACAAACAATTTCAAGTTATACATTAATAGCAAAAAACAAAAAACAAAAAACCTAGAGCAAACAAATGAAATGTTGTCCTTCAGAGGTATGTTTACTGAAGATGAAAAAATGGATAACAGAAATGCAAATGCTGACAGAAAAGGTAGCAGGTAGCATGTGATCTGTTGCAATGAGTGAATATTTATTTTTAAAAAGTCAAAATGACTCTTATATATAAGAGTGTCTTTGTGTCGTCGTTGCACGCAAGTGAGAGGTAGGAAACATATAAGTTGAATGTAATGAGAATGGGCTATTAAAGAAATGTACGGTAAAACAAGAAGACCTAGGGGTCAAGAATGGATGGATTAATTTAATGTAGACTGAATACAATTAGTAACCAATAAGAAAGACTGGTGATGTGAGTAGTCATGTAGAAAAAACTAATGAGGATCAAATTACAAATCTAAGATGTAAGAGTGAATGGGTTGAGGGGAAGGGAAGGTCCAAAAAAAGCACAGTTGGATGGAGTTAATAAGGGCCTCAAAAAGAAACTGGTTAAAAAGTACAAAATATAACGTATAAAGCCATGTATATTTGTGGCGAGGAGCAAGGATTGTCTAGAAACGTATGGAGAGATACAGTGAATGGTTTGTGGAATTTTCATCAACATAGATGTAACTGTATTTCCTTCTCTTTTTTTTTATACACTTATCTTAATTCCTTTTAAGACTCCTTAAAAGGGATTCCTTCCCTTCCCCCTTCCCTTCATTCCTTTTGCTTACTATTTTTACTGTTTTTGTACTTTGCATAATACTGCTATCCTAATAGGGAACAGTAAGATGGTTTAATATGTACGTCTTTTCAAAATTTTCAAATTTTTCTACCCTCAAGGTTTATCGTGAATTGAGAGCATACTGATTTCTCCCAATTTTTTGTTCAATAGGTGGAAGCTACGACTGCCCCTCTGTGCTATAATGGAATGTATACTGGTGGGCTACATACCATTCTGCTCTATCATAAGAAAACCATAGCAGAAGACAGTCTGATTGAAGCGCTACCTCTACACGCAGTGCTGCTACTTACTTGCTGGGGAGGCTGCATATAGCTCTGGGGTTGGAGGATCTGCTGGGCTGGTGCCGTGTGCCCTGAGGCAGAATAGTTGGAGGCAGTGATTGGCTGTCCTGGGGAAGCCATGATGAATCCTGTCTGCTGAGGATGCTGGGACATGATTGGCTGCTGGAACATGGCAGAGGATGGATCGGGTGCTTCAGTGGAACCTTGGCGGCTGAGGCTGATCTGTCCAAAAGGGTTGCTGAGCTCATCAGCCTGTGGCCAAACAAAGGAGAAAGAAAAATTAAGTAGAAAAACTGGGCCCAGGATGGTCTCCATCAGCATGCAGAATGCAAGCACCAACTGCTAGCACAGTGAAAACAGCATCAAGGCACCAGCAAAGCACACCAGTTAGCAAGAATATCAGCCCTTTTTTCAAAGGCTGAAGGAGAACAGCACGTGCACAAGTTGGTGGAAAGTGGAGAAAGGGACAGAGAAAATCCAACAGTGCCACTTTAGCACCTGGATTCATCACCCCACATGGCAATCCTATACTAACCTTTATACTAGATATACTTAAGAACTATTATTCAACTCCACAAATAAAAGAGAAAAAAATTAGAATGAAAAATAACAAAGTACAGATCAGTATTTCTACACCATTAAATTAAAACCATCAAAGTGGTCAGGGAGCAAATGATGCCTCCATTTTTGCCAATTTACAATCTAAATGCTATATTGGAATTTGCACTGCAACTGTGGGAATATGGTGGGAAAAGGAGAGTCCAACCCAGAAACAATCCAAGAAGACTAACTGACTACTTGGGCATTCCTAAAATATGTAATACATTTTAAGCATTTGCTGAAAAAAATACCACCCAAATAACACATTTTTAAAGATGACTTTTATAGACGGCAGGCCACCACAGCAAGCCATGCAAAATGGGTAGACCTTGATCTGGAGGAGAGAGTTAAAAATTGTTGCCTATTTTCAAATAACAGTAAAGTGGGAAAAGGGAACAGAAACAAAGCAGGAGGAGCCGACAACTGAACATCAGTGATTCCTTCAAATTATTATGCTGATTTGATGGAAGAAACTACTTCAGTGATAATTTTCATCATATATGTAGCTAACACTTTGTCCTTGTCAGACCATGGCATATAGGCAGGAATCACACCAGCTCCTACACAACACACTTGTTTATTAGGATGGGTAGGACAAGCTAATAGCCTCCATAACTCATACAGTCCTTTGAAATTCTCAGTGCTGGTGGGAATGGTAGGAATTAGCTTAAAATGTTATGTGAGCAATAGGTTATTTGGTCTTCAAATGGGGATTAAGATTTATGAAACTCAACTGAGGTACAGCATGCATCAGTGTGTTCACGTATATGTTGTCACAGTATTCCCTTTCTGATAAGTCATGTTTTACAAAGCATGGAAACAGAATAAAATATAGCAAGTCTAAGAAATTAAAGGCATGAAATAAGATTTTTTTAAAAAAACAAAACAAAACTATTTCTCAAGATTTTATCTTCTCCATCTAATTATGACTTTCTCAGTTCACCCTATCTTCTTAGTCCTTTCATCTTCTGTCATACAAATATTCTGCACTTCAAACCCCCTTCGTTCTCCTTGTGCGAACAAATCATGTACTGTACTTTTTCCTACTGTTTACTCATTTCCAAATTCAGTCCACATTCCTTCTTGACCTATCTTTTTATTTCAGCACACATACATCTATAAAGTGACCATTCCTACAGTATCCACTTGGCTTCCCTTGACATAACTACTCTCACCTCCCAATGACCCTGACCAGATATAACTTCCCCGTCACAAGACCCTCACTCGACACCCCCCCACCTGAAGCCTTTATAAACAGAAGAACACTGACACTGACATCCCCTAAACTCTACTGAAGATGTTACCTAGCCTGGTAACGAAATGTTTGGAAACCAACCCACAAGCTCAGAGAACCGACCTTCATCTTCATAACTACTCTCATTTCCACATAACAAAATGGGGCACATGCAGGCTGTTAAAGCACGGCCATTTTTACTTATTTCAACACTCTTTACAATCCAGTACCTTCTACTAGACCAGGGGTAGGCAACCTTGGCTCTTTTATGACTTGTGGACTTCAACTCCCAGAATTCCTGAGCCAGCATGGGAGTTGAAGTCCACGAGTCATAAAAGAGCCAAGGTTGCCTACCCCTGTACTAGACTTTCATATGGTGACATTTCTCACTTTTTCCATTTTTAAGAGATCTGGTGGTGCAGTGGTTAGAATGCTGTACTGCAGGCTACTTCTGCTGACTCCCGGCTGCCAGCAGTTTGGCAGTTTGAGTCTCACCAGCTCAAGGTTGACTCAGCCTTCCATCCTTCCAAGAGGTTGGTAAAATGAGGACCCAGAATGTTGGGGGCATGACTATGCTGACTTTGTAAACTGCTTAGAGAGGGCTGTAAAGCACTGTGAAGTGGTATATAAGTGCTATTGCTATTTTAGCAAGGCACACAAATTCATCTGTTTGCTTTTGTGTTCTATTTACATACAACTTGCATTATTCACAACTGCCTGGGCCCACATTCCTCACAATATCACATCATCAAACCTTTGCTGCAAATCATTTCATATGTCAATTAACAACAGGGCATTATCTGCACATGAATATACACATATGTTCACATCCTCAATCAACACACTTCTAACAGGCCCACAAACATTCCTCACACATTTATCAAACACACTAAACAATGAAAGAGACACACTGGTCTTACTCTCTACTTAATACTAAACCAGTTAAAAATGCCATTTATTTTCTCAGATGCTTTTCTATATTTCTCAATGAAGGATAATATCTAGTCTGTTGACCCCTGCCTGGCATAAAAACAGCACCACAGTTACTAAATTTGGGTCATTGTACCCTCTCCTTCCATTTCAATCAAAATTCTTCCAAATACCTTCTCAGGTACTCTTAAGAAGTTAATGCCTCTGCACTTATTGTCCTCACCACATTTCCTTTTGCATAAAAGAACAATAATAGAATTTCCCCAGGCATTAGGCTAACAAACAACTGGCATCAGCCCATGAATTTCTACTTTCACAGACACTGAGAATAACTTGGATGATACCCTTTGTATGTCCAGACATACATTTTAGCCCTTTCATTCATACCTACCTATGCACCTGTACTTTTTTTGAAGCTATTACATACTTCCCCACAACATGTTTTCCCCCCATTTCATTTGCTAATTTATGCTCTTTTACCATTTATGCTTCTCAGATTCCAGGCCTCAATTTTCTTTATGCTATGACAGCCACCATAAAGACTGACTTCTATTGTTCATCACAACTTTTGCCAGTTAAGGAGTCTTATAAAACAGGGATGTCAAACTGCCAGCCTGTGAGCCAGATGCGTCATGCCGAAGCCGCGCCCACCCCAGCTCTGGCAATGGGAAAAAAGTTGAGATACATCATGTGACACGGCGAGTTTGACACCCCTGCTATAAAAGGTATGGGCTAGGATTTCAGTCACAGACATTTCCAAGCAACCTTTAGCATTACCTGCTATCATTAGCTACAGTACCAATTTACAAGCCACAAACACAACCAAAACTCAATTCTGACCCAAGCAAGGTTAAATTACTTTATGCAAGCTAGGTTCAAGATGGCATAATAAACTTAGGAGGTACATGGAGTGTACTGAAACAGATATATGTTGCCTGTGTGTTTAAGTTATCTGGTATAGGTAGTCCTTGATTTACAACCATAATTGAGCCCAAAATTTATGTTGCTAAGTGAAACGTATGTTAAGTGAGTTTTGCCCCACTTTATGACCTTTCTTGCCAGAGGTGTAAACTGAATCATTGCAGTTGTTAAGTTAATAACATGGTTGTTAAGTGAATCTGGCTTCCCCCATTGACTTTGCCTATCATAAGGTCGCAAAAGATGATCACATGACACTGCAACCGTCATAAATACAAGTCAGTTGCCAAGCTTCCAAATTTTGATCACATGACCATGGGGATGTATCAAGGGTCATAAGTGTGAAAAACAGTCATAAGTCACTTTTTCAATGCGGTTGCAGCTTTGGGTTGTCACTAAATAAACTGCTGTAAGTTGAGGACTTTGGTCACCTAATGAGAAGGAAGGACTCACTGGAGAAGGGCCTAATGCTGGGAAAGATTGAGGGCAATAGAAGAAGGGGACGACAGAGAATAAGATGGCTGGATGGAGTCACTGAAGCAGTAGGCGTGAGCTTAAATGGACTCCAGAAGATGGTAGAGGACAGGAAGACCTGGAGGAACGTTATCCATGGGGTCCCGATGGGTCGGACACGACTTTGCAATTAACAACAACAACAACAAAGTCGAGGACTATTGTACAGTGTTCCTGAACATGCAGCCCTTTGTTCCTCTATGCAGTCTGGTTGTTACCAATCCTGACTTGGGTATTATGGACGCTGAGGTTGGGATATCTAGATATCGTCTGCCTGAGTAAGCTTTTGGAAACAGCACAGTCATCTTGGTATGTTCTTTTTAAGTAATCTCTGTGATTGCAAATTAGCACTAGGCAAGCAAAGTCAGGCAAGTGGAGTTACTATTAGCAAGGGCACTTCTGTCTTTCCTGCCGAAAATTGCGCTGAAGAAGAGCAGAGCCACTAATTTCCAGTGGCAAATACTAGCATCTGTTTCCCTCTAGTTTCCCAACATGTTTCTCTGTAAATTGCTTACTAATCTAGAAGTCCTACTGAACTACTATTGCCTCTCAGTAATATTATCACAGTGTGTGATAAAAATGCAACTTTGGTCTCTGTCCTGATTGTTATCTCTCCAACTGATGAACAGTTATTGTCTTTACAATTCTCTTATTTCTCAAGTCTTAAGATCGGCTATAGCCAGGGAAAAAGCATCAGAAAAAAAAGCTTCTTCTGAAATGAGGATAGTGAAGCGAGATTATTCAGCCATCACTCCTTTTAGTAGCATAAAGCTTCTGTCGTACACAATCTGCCTCAGAAATGGAGCAGGTGAAAAACTGTTGCCCATTGAATAAGCAAAGCAAGAGAAAAAGCAAAGGTCACCCATTTTGCACAATCTCCTCAGGAAGACAGGAGAAATGAGCGCCACCTGGTGGCTAAAATGACCAGGTTTTTGCAAAATACAGTACAATGAAGCTATCTTGGATACACACATAATTGCTTCACCATTAGCATGTCTGGCACTAAGGAGTTTGGTATCTAATATGAGCTGCTGCTAAAAAGGAACTTAATTCAGACACAGAATTGAGCAGCATCCTATAAAGAGTCTACCCCAAGCTTCAGTTCAAATGATTCCCCTGTTTATTTTCAGGCTCTTTTCTATATTCCTTTCAGTGCAAGATCTTGTTGTTTTTTTTCTTCAGCAAACTGACTTTTGAACTTATGCCATCACATCACATCACACTTGAGAGGTGGGATTGAGGGCAGTTTCCGAATATACACTGGGGGACAACTATTGCAGACAGACTTGGGAAACCATTTGCAGCTTTTACAGGGCAATCCTGCAAAGGTTAACTTATAAAACTCAAGTTAAAGCTAACACACTTTAGTAGAAGAGGAGGCTGGTCAACAGTGAGCTGAGAATCCTTGTCTCAGATGGAAAAACAAACAAACTCCCCCCCCCCAAAAAAATATCTAAACATGTTATCTTTCCGGTCTCACTCATCAACTATTTCTGTATTTTTTACAACAGAAAGTGGCACATAAGAAAACTACAGCTCTTTAGAGCTGGTCTCTTCATTTCTCTAACAAAAGACAGACATAGCATTCACTCTTATAATCCTATGCAGGAGCTGGGGTGGAGAGGCAATGAAAAACAGGGCAAGGATGAGAAGGTGGACTCTAGTCATCTGCCATCTTGGATGTTATAGGCACTCCTCAAAAGGCAAGCAATATCCAGAGTCCATCAGAGTTGGGCAGCTATAACAACTTTAAATAACCAAACAATTCTTTTTTTATCAATATAGAAAAACAGAGGGCCTGCTGGTTTGGGAATTACACCTTACTTTCAAAGCTATAATAACATGGTATAGAAAATGGTTAAGATATTTGGTACTTAAGGTATCAGCGCTCAAGTTCTCAATGAACCATGGAGCTCATTGTGTAAATTCCTCTTTCCCTGCAACCTACATCTCAAGATTACTGCTGTGGAAATAAAGTTGGGGGAGATCCCATTTGTGGCACCTTGAGCTTCCAAAGCAAAGATGGGATATGCAATAAATGCAATAAAGAACAGCAATTAAAATGACTACCAACACAATAATAATGTCCTTTTGTAGATAACATTTGGATCTCATCCAACAATTAGTAAGCTCATTCCTGTTGTATTATAAACAATTGCTGTACTTGGAAAATATCTTAAAGCAGTGGTCCCCAACCTTTCTGGCTTAGCGGTTCAACGGGGGGGGGGGAAATAGGGAATGGTTCTGTGTGAGTGACAGACGTGTGCATGAGCGCAAGCACCCGCCACTTGTACAAGTGGAGCTGTGTGCGCACACGCTCACCTGCCACTTGTGTGGTCTAAAGTAAAGCTAGAGACAGTGATGGTAGTGTACAATAGTGTAATAATGTGTGGGAAAGACCTGGGAGAACAGGCCAAGTAATGCTGCTAAGGGAACAGTCAAATAAGAGACAACTTAGTCTGCAGCTAGATAATTGGGCGGGCTAGAGGCTCAGAGAGATCCTTCCTAGTTTCTCATGCATTAAAGCAGACATGTCAAACTCGCGACTTCAAATGATGTGACGCGACATATCAGAACTTTTTCCCCATTGCCGGCAATGGGATGGGCACAGTTTCCTCGTGACGCGTCCGGCCGCCGGGCTGGCAGTTTGACACCCCCGCATTAAAGGAAATGGAGAAGCAGAGGGGAATTCTACTTTCAGACTTACAAGTTTCTGTTAATGTAGTTTTACAATAAAGTAGAAATAGCTCAAACGGTTGTATTTCCTGGTCTGTTCTACCTAGTAAGGCTGACAAATAGTTCAATGCTGTGTTACAAGAAAAATCCATGTATTATACTTTTTATTGCCTTTAAAAGGACTCCAAAAGCTGCTGACAAGATCAGCTTGGGTGTATGATACACATGCGCATAATATACGTAGAGAGAAAAAGACAGCAAGATATAGGGTTTTTAATACCATATTGTACTGCTGGGGTGGAGAGACTGGCAGGAGGACTTGGGGACAGGAGCTTGGAGAGTACTGAACTGGCTGCGGAGAGGACTGCAATGCTGGGACCGGCTAAGAGATGAGCAGGAAGGGAAAAGAGAGGGGAGAAGGGGAAGAAACAGGCATGAGAAAAGGGAGGAGAAAAAAGGAGAAGAGAAAAGGTAGAAAGAGATTAGTAAACGTATATACATACAGATAAGCAATTTAAAAGCTCCACCATCGACCGAGCTCTTCCCTCACCCCCTCCCCATCTATTTTAAAGAGGAAAAGAAAGAAAGAAATGAGCGCTCTGGAAAATATTTGGTCAGAGGGAAAGGACAGGAGGAGTTGCACGGTCTTGGATCTCTGGGGAACCCGAGATATATACATATGTATTTTTTCCCTAGCATTTTCCTGCAAGGCATATATATCCCAGCAGAAGTAAGTGTGCATACATTCAGCCAGCCTCATAAAAAAGGATGAGCTGGACAGCCAGGTCTTGAGAACACTGCAGAGTTCAGGAAGCAAACTTCTTCGCCTGCGTCTTAGACCACCTTCCCAATTCTTGGCAGAGGAAAAAAGCAGTAGTTTCAACTCCAACCGGAACAATGGTTTATCTATTTCTACATGGGAATTTTTACACAATCCGCAATTCTACACAGCCCACTAGGCTGGAGCGCATACATTTAAAGCAACTCAGTATGAATGAAAGCTTACTTATTCAAAATGCTTCTTCTGTTTTTCTCATAGTCAGAAAGCAAAAGGGGATAAATATCATTGGACGGTCTAGAGCAGGGGTAGGCAACCTTGGCTCTTTTATGACTCGTGGCTATGCTGGCTCAGGAATTCTGGGAGTTCAAGTCCACGAGTCATAAAAGAGCCAAGGTTGCCTACCCCTGCTCTAGAGGGATGCAGTTAAGTAAGGGGAATAAAACGGGAGTAAATAGTTGGTAAGTTATTTTGTGGATGTCTCGATAGGCTTTTAGGAAAATATCAAAAGGCTGTACATTCTAACGTCAGGAAAGTAAACAAAAGGGCCCACCCCAACCTGGGCATCCTCCAGATGGATGTACCTCAATTTCCAAAACTGTCAGCACCAGCAATGCTGGCTGGAGGATTTAACAAGTTGAAGTCAATACTTCCAAATATTGCTCAGTTCAGGGAAAGCTGAACCCCTCCTATGGGTTTTAAAAAAATATATTGCTTTTGGGTTTTTTTTTCTACTTGGAAACATGAAGGACTAGAAACCAGAACAAAGGAGGTTCCCCTTTCACACATTAAGACACAAATATAAAATACGCTTTTTGAGAACGTGCTATTAGCTGGGGTGGAACACTGGGGGTCTTTAACAAATAAAGATGACTAACTTTAACAAATAAGGGTGATGAAATGAGTCTGGTTTCATCAATAAGATTATAAAGCTTATTAAAAGGCAATGTTGGCTATAAGTGAAAGCACATTAATACAATTTACACTTTATGTCTCCCCATCCCATTTCTAGCTTTATATAAATGATCATGCTTAATGAAAAGTTATTGAAAACTTGCTTACTTTATGCTTGCCTTAATATAAAATGAAATTTCCAAATATATTATTGTTTCTGAAATCTGATAGGAATGCTTATATCCCTTTCCCCTTTAAAAGGAATTTAAATCCAGGTAACAAAATCCTTCTGCTTCTCTAATCATAGGTTATAGTCTAATCTATATTATAGTTATGTACAAGATTGTAACATAGTAAATATGTATGCATTCATGTATTTATTTATATCCTGCCTTTATAAATAACTTAGAGTGATGAATGTACTAATAGCCCTTCCTCCTATTTTCCCACAATAACCCTGTGAGGTGGGTTGGGCTAAGAGAGAATGACTGGCCCAATCTCACTCAGCTGGCTTTCATGCCCAACTACATAACATCATCTGTCTTAGTGAGTGTGGAGTTTGCTCTGTTTATATACAGTAGCTTCCCCTGCAAATATTGGTACTGGTGTGCGTGCGTGTGCATGCGTGTGCGTGCGTGTGTGTGGTGTTTGCGTTTCTCTTTTCTTTGGTAGTTTTTTGATTATAGTTTTCTACTTGTTTGTTTGTTTGCTTGATTAGGGTATTGTTTTCCGCTTTGTCTGATGTTAATTCCTACTTATCTGGATGTTGGCTGCTGGAGCGGATGCATTCTGATATTTTGGTTTCCTTATTAGCTTTTTTATTGTCACTTTTGATTGGTGTTTAAACATGGTTTATCTCTATCTGTTTATTGACGGCTGATCTGTCAAGAATGCCAAGCTTCTAGGAATTTGCTAGTGTTTTTCATTTTAGCTTGGTCTAGGATATTCACAGCTGGTTGTGTCTGTCCATGTGTCATAAAAAAATTAAGAAGCTTCCATTGCATCTTTTGAGTTGGTGGTGTTGGTGTTCATGAATGCACCCTGCTAGTCTTCTGCCTGTCTGTCCAACATAGTGTTGGAGTCCTTATACTCTCTATTTTGTAAGTGACTCTTGTTTTTTTCTTCTTGGGCTACTGGATCATTTGGTTTACTTAAAAGGTTCTGAAGTGTTTTAGTTGATTTGTGTGCTATGATGATACTGTGTGGTGTTAACAGTCTGTTGGTTGTTTCTGAGATGTTTTCGATGCATGGACGTATTATTCTTCTCTTAGTTTGTGTTGGTTGTGCTGTAGTGGATTGAGTGGTCACTTTTTTTTTGATAAAGTTGCATGGATTCTTTTGTTAGTTGTGGTTCTATGGATGTAAAAGAGTGCTATGACCTCAAATGAAACCATGACCTCATTTTCTTCTACTATTGGGTCTTTGATTTTCTGGAGGCAGGGTAGTGGGAAGACAGAATATCTCTGTGAGAGATACAAGCTTCTTTTAAAGGTTTTGATCTGTATTGTATGTTGGAGTCCCTGGTAGTGACACAACTGGATGAAGATGTATATTAAGACTTAAGGCTTCCATAGAAGTTTGGGACAATGGGTCCACTACTTTTCATCTGACCTTTCTTGATTGGTCATTAAGGCTTCTCTTGATCAGGCTGCCTAGTTGTCTAGTTGCTGCATTGGATTGGCATTTACTGGCAAGCAATAGGAGTCAAGGGGCAAAGGTAAAAGAGAGAACCATCTTCACAGTACCTGATGTATGCTTTTTTAGTAGAAGCACTCAGGGCTGTGACCTCTAAGCTGGGAGAATGGCTTGAACACATTCCAGGAACAACATCAGAGCTAATAAAGGAGAATATTTGTAGCTCAGGGTTGAAATGAGGGGTCCTTGATGCTCTCTGAGCTTGGTTGTTGTCTTGCAGATGTCTCATTACCCAAACTAGATAACATCATCAGTGCACTTGCTAGCACATGATGAGGCAAAGGTGCTTTTTCCAAAGGCAACTGGACTTTGTTTTTCCTTGAAGATATTTTGCTTCTCAACCAAGAAGCTTCTTCAGTTCTGACTGAATTGTAGTGAATGGAAGGAGTTATATTGCTTGCAGGCATCTGGTCATTAGGACTCTCTCTGAGAGTTGCTGAGGCCACTTGGAGGTTTATCTGTGCACTCACAGTGCAAATGGGTGTGGAGCCTTCTTGGAACTGCTGAAAGGACCGTGTTGTAAACACGAGATAGGTGGTGTTGAATCCCTCCCCTTCTGTAGAGGGCCGTTCAGTTTTAACACAGATGGCCTCTTTCACCTCCTCTCTTTCCGGAATTGTGCGGCATATGGCTGTGTGGACTTGTGCGGCATATGGCTGTCTTCCAAAGAGTGACCTTTGTCTTTCAAATGCAGATGGATTGCTGAATCTTCTCTTGATGGGATTGTTCCTTCCATTCTCCACCATTCAGTTAGAACGGAAGAAGCATCTCGGATGAAAGCGAAACGTCTTCAAGGAAAAACAAAGAAAGTTGCCTTTTGAAAAAGCACCTCTGGGGACAACCATGACCTGGATGACTGAGAATCTCCACAGACATTTAGCACTGATGATATTGCCTAATTTGTGTAATGAAATGTCTGTGAGAAAACAACCAAACTCAGAGAGCACCAAGGACCCTCTCAACACCAGAGCTGTGCAGAACAACATTCAGAAGAATGTAGTGCAAGGTATGCATGGAAGCCTCAAACGCCAAGGCCTCTGACAGAGCATCTGAGATTGAGGAAAACACACAACACCATTTATGGGGTAAGAAAGGATTTTTGAAAAATAAAATGTAGGATAAAACATAGTAACAGTAACTTACATCAAGTGAAAAAGAGACCTTTGGACTACAATTCTTCATCTAGAGTAGAACCACATATGTATTCATAATGTAAAGCTCCTTTCCATGAATTTGCACTTGGCTTTAGTTAATGACCTTCAAACCCTGGATACCTGAGATCTGCTCTCTCCCATGCTATAGCTGAAGATACACAGTCCATTAAAAGGAAAAGGGGAGAAAAAAAAACAGAGGAGGAAGGGGATGCCTAGAAGGGAGAAAACCTTTTTCATATTTTGTCTTATAAAATATGATACCTGTCTGGCCAGCTCAATCTGACAAAGGTTGGTATGCTCCAGGTTCCATCAATTAAACCATGCCATCTGCTGGGACCGCAGAAACACAACTGCTCTATAGCAGCACCTACTTTCTGGAATGAGGTTCCTCCCAAAATTCAAATGGTCCCCACCCTATTTGCATTTTGAAGGACCTTGAAGACTTGGCTCTTCATGCAGCCTTTGGCAAGGATGACTGGTGCCCCTTTCTTTTTTTTTTTTAATTGGTTGCCATTCGAGTTTGTTTCCTTTGCCGTATCTGTTTTTTTTCCTATTGGTTTTATGTTTTCCTATTGTTCCTTATTTTTTAAATGTTTTGAACCACCCAGAATCGCTGGGAACCAGGTGCCATATACCTGTTAATCAGCATCTTCATCTGGACCAAACTATTAAGTATATACCTATGGGTCCTGCAAGTCATACATACCCTACAATAAGTCATGCGTTGTTTCTGCACAGCAAAATAAACTCAGCAGGCTGAGGTATTAGGGCAGGAGTCGCCCATGATACATGATTAAACTTGACACTCCTCCTCTTGATCTAGTTCAGTACTTCTCAACCTTGACAATTTTAAGGCATGTGGACTTCAACTCCCAGAATTCCACAGCCACCAATGCTGGCTGTGGAATTCTGGGCGTTGAAGTCCACATGCCTTAAAATTGTCAAGGTTGAGAAACACTGATTCTAGTTTGAAGCTGACGCACTTATCAGCACCTTTTTAGAGCAGCTGCGCTTTTTCTTGCGCATGCATGTAACTATATGACCTTAAGAAATGTAAGTGGTACCCAACAAGAGGCAACCAAGGAGGAAGTAAGAGCATGCTCCTTAACTCAAAGCTGTATTTTTTACCATGTTAGCTCAGGATAGGAAGTGCTGGCAGATGCAGTCTGTATACCCCTGCCTGATCCAAATTACCTTTTTCCGCTTCAGGCCTTCTATTCGGCACATCCCTAGTAAAGAATTTAAAGAATTAAGGCGCCCATTCTTCGTATTTCTATTGATGCAGCCTGAAAATTTCCTTGAGGGAGTAAGTTTAGGACATCATTCTTCCCTGCGCTTGACTACATCTGGTAGGATCCAGTTCAGAAATAGAAAGAAAAAAACCCGGACACGGTTTGAAGAGGGAGGTAAATACAGAATGTGTACGCCTCTGCTCTGTCCCTACCAATATAGACCCTGGAGCACTACAGTCTTATCTAGAAAAATCTCCTATTCAAATGTTTTGAGGGTCACCTCAAAATACACGTGACAGGAAGCCAGGCATGTACCCAATTTTGTGCTACAATCAAACCAGAACATGGACAGTCTAAGGGGACTAATTTGTGCACAAGGTCATAAACATTATTCAAGCTTCATATAAACATTTCCGAGTGCTCCACCGGCCACCACTTCCTCAGTAAGGAGCCACAAGGAAGAGCTCCCCACACAGTGGTTAACATTGAATAATGACTCACCTGTGATATGATGTGATTAGTCATTGCTGGCTGTTGCTGCGGTGTGGGTGGAAGTGGCTGCGGCTGCAGTTGCTGAGCGGCACACGGCAAGAGGCTTCGGCCAGGCTGTGCAGAGGAGAGTTGGTTGCAGGCTTCAGGAGTACTTAGAGAGAGACCTTCATTAAAAAAAAAAAATGGAGTGGGCAAGGTGTGAGCAAAGAACCTGCTTTTTTTTCCTGTAAGAAGTGGTGCCGGGGCTCAACAGTGCCTAGAAAAAAACACAGGATTCAAAATCCCAGATTGTATGCAGAAATATGTCTCTTGGTGCTCTCTGAGCTGGCTTATTTTTTTGCAGACGTTTCATTACCCAAACTAGCTAAGATCATCTGTGCTAGTATCTCTAGCACTGATGATATTATCTAGTTTGGGTAATGAAACACCTGTAAGAAAACAAGCAGAGCACCAAGGACCCCTCATTTCGACCCTAAGCTATAAATAGTCTCCTTTATTGGTAGAAATGTGTCTGAATATACTCAATTTCTACTCAAACCTTCCTGTGATTAATTTATGTGGTCCAGGTCTGAGCTGAGATAGTCTATGGATTGATGCTCAGCCTTAGCTTATTGAAACCTTTGTGAAAAGTTGTTTTACTGATTTCTATAGATTCTTCTGAGCATCTCCAAAAAATCTAAAAATAGGTCCATAGCAAATCCATGATAAAAAAAAAAACTTAAATTGTGCAATATTCCATCACTGAAACATCTCTTTAGGGTGTACCAGAAATGATCTGATCATGAAACAGCCTCTTGTAAAGTTGAAATACTTCTGATCTTTTGATCTATTGACCATAATAAATTTTATTACCACTACACTTGACATGTTGAAGATAGAATGGGATGTTCCAAAGACAGAACTTTTAAATCTTGAAATGATTAAAAATAACATCCTGCATAATCCTATTTCACACTGAAAAGACTACTGCGAATGAATCAAACCAGCAAATTATATTTTGCAATACAATAATATAACAAAGCGAAGCTGAATGAGGACATTTCTAGCTTCCTTAAAAATCTTTTAAACTATTTGGGGTTTTTTTGAGGTTCTCTCTCTCTCTCTCTCTCTCTCTCTCTCTCACACACACACACACACACACACACAGAGAGAGAGACAGCAACAGAGAGAGAGAGAGAGAGAGACAGAGACAGAGAAACATACACACAATCTCAACTATTCCCCTACTACTATATTTAAAAACGGTTCTCTTGGTAACAATATCTTTACTTCAAAAGTAGAGGTTTCCAATTAGGAAGAAATGGCTTCCAAATAAATGTAATCCAGAAGATGAAAAACAACATGTGGGCAAGCCATTCCTATGTATACAGTACATTCCAGTCAAAGAAGCTGGTAAAATTAGAAATATTTTTATACTGAGTGCAAAGATGATTTTCATATATTCACACAGTTCTAGATTTGCATCAGCTTCACCTAGTATTGTACTCTGTCTCCATGTACCTTTAAAAATACATTAACTGTATTATACATTTACTTCAAGTAGCAAAAGTATTTTTAAGGCAAAAACCCCATGGCACCCAATCAAAATGCATTTTTCACCTTTTTTTAACACAAAATTATAGCTTTAAGCTAGAGAACAAGGGGGAGATAAAGTAAAATATGCACCAGGATATATTTTCATGTATATATGAAAATAATTTTTATCTGACTTCCAGTTTGCCATCACGACCGCCAGGGACACTGGAAGGTGAGCTCCAGTGTTTGATTTCGTTCCGCTGGGGGATCCTGGAAAGGGTCGAAAGTCGCCCTTTAGGGGCGACGAGCAAGGAGGGGATCCCACTTGAAAATAAGGATTCTATTTGTTAAATATTTAAAAATTAGACCCAAAAGAAAAAAATTATGAATGTTTGATTTATTGATTAACTCAGACAATACATATAATGGTTTTGATTTATTGAAGGGGATACTGTATTATTAATTAGATGATTTAATATGGTGGGAAATAGATAACTTTTAGAAAATAGAACAAGATTATACTCAAATAGATAAGATGTATATTTTGAATATTAGATTCTGTTTTGAATTGAGATAAGGGAAATTTTGGTTACCTAAAGCCTGGAAATTATAAATATCAAGTGTTAAATTTGAATATTGATGGGAAACTAAAAAATGGGAAAAAACCAATAACAGGACATTGTCTATAAAGATTGAATGTAAAAGTAATTAAGAAATGTATAAGCTAAAAATTTATTGATAAATATAATAATGATGTTTTTACTTAGTTGATATAGTAAGAACTGTATTGGCTTAAATACGAGATAGTAGATATTAAGAGAAAAAGAGAGGAAATATTTGATGTTGTAACTTGAGATTTGTACTAAAGATTTTTGTATGTTATTGAAGTATTGATTAACCCAGCCACTACGTTGCTTTTTAAATACTTAAATGTAAAATTAGAAAACTAATAAAATATTATTTTTTTTTTATCTTCAGTGATGTCCAATAGGTCAAATGCATTAATTCACAATAGAGTCACACTACAAAAAAGCAGATTCAGACCACGTTTCCCACTATATTATACATCATGTGACTTTTTATTACAGGAGGCCTTCAAGTTACAATGGCAATGGAGACCAGAATTTCTGTCGCTAAGCGATGTGCTTGTAAAGCTCAACATCACGATTGCACTGCTTAGCGACAGCAATCCTGGCACACCCTATTAACCAACTCCCAAGGGCCATTAGCTGAGAACCTACCCTAATTCAAACCATTCCTGTCTTGGCCCCTCCCTATCTTCACCACCACCACCTGAGCCCCCCGCCCCAATTGCAATCCTTCTGGCCACCCTGCACAGCCCCAGAACCATGCAGTTTTTGGGCTCCTTGTTGCACTGCAACTCAGGGGCTTCTTGTTGTGCCATGCTCTGGGAGCAACAAGACGCCCCTGAACTGCACTGCAGTGCAAGGCTCCAGTTGACTTGAGAAGCCCCAGCTGCCCCTATCCAGCCCAGCATCACGGCCATCCTAGGAAACCCCAGCCACTCCAGCCCAGAGGCAGGGAACAAAAGCTACAGCTACAGTCAACTTTAGCCACCCTAAATTCTGTGGCTCTTTCCACCCTGCACTCCACCCCCATCCCCACCCTTGAGCTGACCTTTGCTGCCGTTTTGCTCCCACTGCTGATGTGGTATGACTGGCCTGGTCCTTCACGAAGCAGCTGGTGGCCATCTCAGGCCTTCTTCTAAAGGTCTCACAAAAAAACTGCCACACGTAACCTTGGGAAGAAAGCCTAGTGAAGGGTCTGGTTGAGCATGCTTGGTCAGCAGTGGGAGCAAGAAAAGGACAAAAGTCAGTGTGGGCAAGAGAGCACAGGGTAGCAGGGGCTATGGAGTGGAGGGACCAAAATTGCAGAGATTTGGGGGCAGGGGAGAGACAGGCAGATGGAGGAATTGAAGTGCCTCTGAAGTCATAAGTTTGGGCCGGTTACCAAGTGCCCAAATTTTGATCACATGACTGTGGGGGTTCTGCAATGGCTGTTCTACAATGGCTGTAACGAAGCCTGGGTATATGTACCATTCATTCAATGCCACTGTAACTTTGAAATGTCACTGAATCAATGGTGGTAACTCGAGGACTACTTGTATATGTAACCTAGTTTAATCTACTGTGCTAAAATCTTAATGCTTTTTGCAAATGTGATGCAAAACTTGAATCTCCAATATACAGATGCTTTACTGGGATACAGAAAGATGCTTTGGTGTTTATTTCTTTAAGTCAGAAATGTTAGGTATCTTCAGTTTAATGAAACAAGGTTTTTAAATTTCCAATGCCTATCCAGGAAACCAAATAAACTTGGTATAACTACAGATCTTTCATCCACTATGAAATGACCAGTAAATTTTCAGTTTAAAAGCTGGGGAAAATTAAGTCTCCTAGAACTTTGGTTTTGCCTGCAACCAAGATGTGGTGCCATCCCAAATGTGATTATTAACTATCTATGACAAAGCAGTGAGACAGCCCAAATCTACACAGTAGGCCTCAAGGATAAAGTTGGATTCCAAATCTTATACAAACAAATGAAATATTAACCTGGGGGAGGGGGGAAAACAGGTGATCTGATTATTATCACCCTATTCTGTATCCCTTTCTTTGGGTTAATTCTAAGGTGAGTCCTTTTTTTAAAATCTCTGTGAAACTTAATATTCTAAACAAAACCCCCTCCCTTCCAAAAACCCTCTCTCTTTTCCCTATACAGGGAAGGCTTCCAGTGTTCTGTTTCTGACTGTAATGGTATGACCATAATTACAGTGGCATTTGAGAAACAGTAGGCACTAACTAGTTTTTACTCCCACAGACATTCTTGCAAGGACAGAATTATCATCACCACTTCCCCTGATGAATGCAAAGGATTCAGGAAATATATTACATTTATTTACTTTTTGTTAAAGCCAACAACCAACACCATGCAGATCTCAATCCACCACACGCTGGACCTTCTTGGATATGATTGCTCTGCTTTATAATAGCACTGAATGGTACCCAGATTAGGAATTCACCTGTACAAGCTGACTGCTCTAGGGACCAAGCACGACTCCACTTCTTCATTTTGTCACAGAAAAATCACTGAATAATTAAAGGGCTGATCCAAATGTGATAGAGAGTGTAAGTTTTTCCTAGGTGTTTCCGAGACTCACAGACAACTCTATATATACTCTTGTGGTATATATCCTCATGCTATTTGTGCATTGTGATTTAAACTCCACATGCAATAAATAGTCCAAAACAACTGTGTGGCAAGCTGCTTTAGCCTTCCCATTTGTTATATGTCATATTTAGCTAACTATTCAGGTTAACCACCAAAAGATGCTGTTATGACCTCTTATGACACGACATATCATATTCTTACCAATAAATTACTGTATATGCCGGCGTATTAGGCGACCCAGCGTATAAGATGACCCCCGTCTTTATAGCCGGGCCGCATTCCTAGAACGTCGTCTTATATGCCGGAAACTACCAGTATTTCTGGCATATAAGACGACTTGGCATATAAGACGACCCCCGTCTTTGGCGCCGATTTCAGCGCTCGCGGAAGTCGTCTTATACGCTGGCATTTACGGTACTTTCTTTCACTCTAACTGTGGTCCCTATTCTTCTCTTGTATGACGTATGCAATTGAAAAAAACAGAACAGAACACAATGTTAAAATAAATGGTAAACGGAAAAGTAACTTGACATTTTGCTCTTTATTTTATCCATATGGCTAGTATTTGGTCTTTGGATTCCTGTTTGCCTCTTGCTGTTAGAAAAGATTTTACATAAATGATAAAATGAAAATGTCGAACTACCAGCCCCTTCAAAAGACGGTGCTGTATTTGCTGAAAATAAGAGGTCTTAAGAAACAGTTGCTATGCAAAAAGAAATTAAAATGAAGCAGATTTATGTTGCAAGAAAATTCAACCAAACCCACCATCTAGTCTTCTTTAAAAGCAGATGAAGGATTCACTTGACACAGTCTCTGGTTAAAATATGTATGTTTGAAGGACAGAGAGAAAGAAAACCAAGCTTTACTTGTTGGCGTAGAAAACCATGAGTTTGCATGTAGTTATGCCCTAAATATTTGTACAAGAATCTACATATAATTCTTCTCTTGTAAGTTTCTCAGGGGTTGCTCCTAAGGAAGGAAGCATTTTTGCACATATTTGCATACCCAACATCATCAAGAATCTGAATAATCAATCGTTTCTGCACCAAGGAGGGATAGCTAGACAAGGACATAAATAGTTTTTTCCAGTTCTGTGACTGAAAGAAACACAATCTCCTTGATTATCAATCCAGGGAGCTTGCAAATGAAAAAAAAAAATTATCTACATCCTACTGATTGATGGGAATTGTAGTCCAAAACATCTGAGGTTTACTGGTTGAGAGATAGCCAAGGGGCCAGGAGAAAGAATTGATAGCAGAGAAGAGGTTCTCTAGTACTAGTTCCCAATAAGGAAAATGCTGGCAATGAAAAGGCTAGAAGAAAGAGGAACCTAATCAGAAACAGGACCAGAATTTCAATCTCCTGAAACCCCGTTGTGTCTGAAATGCCAACCCAGACATAAAAATTTCCTTTTGTGCTGCTAATTTTTTGCTGCACTCAAACTCCTACGTAAAGGAGTAGGCAGCACCATCCAAATTGTATTCGGTATCACTCAGGTCTGTGTCTATTATGCTACGACGCCAAAATAAGTCCGGCATGAAGGGAAATCCAAGCTGAGTGATCAAAATACGGCACATCCAATACATTTAATTATACATCTTTTTGATAATACTTTACAAAATAGTACTTTTGTGAGGGCAGAAATAACTACTTGCTTAAAGCCACCTCATGAATTTGCATTCGAGACTTCCTAACCCACAGCTCCTGCTTTCGGTCACATTCCCACACAAGGTCTTGGTGTTTTTAAGAACTTTTCGTTACATAATATATTCATATACCAGCTGCCATGTAGCACTCCTCCACCAGTCTCTCTTCCTATGGGAATAATGTGACAGAGAATAATGGAAGGAGGAAAGGGATGAAACTTAGTTATTTGTGGGACAAAGATGGGCAAACAGTTAAAAGTAACCAATGGAGATACAACTAACAGACGAACATAAAAAGGAGCAGCATTTATTCTGCATTTTTATTACAGTTTTTGTACAAATGAGATAAAAAAATAAAAATTCTGAGAATATGCACCACTAAATCACCCAGCAACACAGTCTATTCTTGGTGCTTTAGTTGTGAACCACATTTACTGCATGCCTGCCTTGATGGCTTTCTTCTGTGACTTAAAAAGCTATGCACATGGTTTAAAAATGGGTGTCAAATAGCTAGATGCCAAAGACAAAACAAAAACGTTCTTTGATGCAAAGACCAACTTTTCATACATCTGCACAACCAGATGGGTGACAGGATTTTTTTCCAACACCACGATGACTATGAAGGCAGGGGATCATGTTCGTAAACAAGTATGCTAAAAGGAAAACACGGTATGGTAAAAGAAATAAACAAAGGCATATCAGTGCCTGCCCTTGAAGTAAACAGGCTGAGTAGATGGATGGTTAAATATGAGTCATCCCTAGTGCTGTAGAAAGCAATAGTGAGAGAGGAGACACAATGTTACTTTATGCCACCCTCTGTATTGACACATCCCTATTTCTGAGGGTAAAAGAATGAATTAGTACATCTGTAAATGCATCATCCACCTCATAAATTAAGTATGCTACATAATACTGCGGAGCGATGGAAGAGAATCTTGGAAGTGCATGTTCTTTCACCTTGATGGGAAAGAAGTAACAATATGCTAACTTACCCATACAAATAGCAAGTACCAACGCAGATGCTGATGACTGTACAATAGCACTGAAGGTACCTCTCCATGCACTTCTCTTTCAGAAGCGTATTTAATGTTACCCAACATTTCCCAACCTGCTACCTTGTTGATGTTTCAGATTACAGGCTGATCTCTATTCCTGACATGCTAGGTAGGTGAAATCGCATTTTCTAGCCTTGTTTGCCTGACCTAAGAGATGTAAAATTCATATTTTCAACAATTTTTCAAGAGCCACCATCATTTTGGGCTGCATATATATGGAAACTCGTCAGTTTTCCTATGATCTGTTTCTAGCTGGGAATGATTAAGCATTTTTACTGAATAACACACCAATTAAAACAGATAAGAAATCTCAGAATGAAATTACAGAATTCTGAATGCTGATTTTTTTTTTTTATCAAAGAGAACTAGATGTGGCTTATATTCTGCACATCGTTCTCACTGATGGCTATCATGGAACAGGTCTTTGTGGTGTCTGCAGCCATCAACACTGAAGCCTATACCAGACTGGCATGGTATGACTTATAAACAGCTCAAGGGGGGAAATGGAGACTAAGCATTATCACTGTGGGTTGCTTTTCAAGGTGAACATTTTTTAAAGCTGACGCAGCACTAAAAAGGGCCTTCATAAAATCCAACATATAGGGCTCAGAAATAAAATATCATCATGTTTAAAGCAGTTCTACTTGGATTAAAAAGACAGAAGGTATTTTGTCAATATGGCCCAGTGTTGTAGTTGAGATCCAGACCCAGTTGATACTTAAAGAGACTGACTTTTTCTCAATATCTCAATCATCTCTGGAATGGGACAAAAACCTCAATACCAGCTCATTTCCTGTTGCCGGCTCCGTTTCTCACCGCTGACATGACTGCTATCTAGCGCAAACGTTTCAGGGTGGTTTCTAGCTGCCTCCTCTTCAGGTCTTTTGATTTCTATAGTGTTAAACAATGTTAATGTAGGAGACGTGGGCTAGGACCCACTGGAAGGGTGATACACAGGATTACCCCAAGATATAGTCATCACAAACTTAGAATCTCTTATTTTACTTGAAGAAGGGCAAATAAAAGAGTTACCTGGCCTGGCAGTCCTGTTGGCGCCATTCCCTTTGCCAATGCCACCAATGCTATCTCCTCGGGTCAAGATAGAAATGCCACTGAAGCTGCTGGCTTTGGTGACCGGAGGCCGCAGATTGCGCGTTGAGCCATCAGAGTCTGTGCTACTCCACGGCCGGGGCTCCAGGGATTTCATCTCACTCTCTGTGCTGCTCTGGCGGCTGCCTGAAGCCCGGCTGAGCCCATCTCGGTTACCCCTGTGGCAGGGATGGCAATGGTTAATGTCATTGTGGGACCAGAAAAAGGCACAGCCTGTCTAAACATTCAAGGTGTCAATGTTTTGATATTGGAACAGCAGACAAATGAGCACAAGTAGCTACATCGAAAAGGGCCAGCTGAAAAGCTACTGGCCTTCAAACAGACTTAACCTGTAGGCTGATGGACCTTACAGGCTGCCCCTGGAGAACTAGGCAGAATGGTCAGCATCACAATGGAGGGGTGACAATCTAAGTCAACACTGCCCTGCATAACAAGTGCTCTGACCAAAAATGCGGGATGAGTTCAAGCAGGCCCATGCTCTGACATCAGAATTCAGATGTTCCTCCTAACTCAGGGAGCAGGTGTTTCCAGCAGTCAGTTTAATTTAAGCAGTGTAACTTTTTGGGTGAGTAAACTGCAGTATGGGCATCACAAAACTGGTTGAAACCTTTTGTGCTAGAGAGTGATTGGAATGTTTCCTCGCGTAGTATGTACTTGCAACTCGCTCCTTACACACATTGTCAAAAAATACTCAGCGCTGAAAACACAGAATCTGCACACGACATCACTAAACAAGAGCAAGTTGGTGAGAACTGGAAGAAAGTGTGAAAAATACTGGCAGTCTAGTTCATACGTTGAGAAGGTACAAGTGAAAAACAAGTTTGTTCCTAAATTCCAGGACAGCATTAGATAGGTTAATGAGAAGAAGTTTATTAAAATTACAGGGAGTTATACAACAGTAAGCACAGCATAAATGCTTACGCTTCCAAGAATACAGTTTAACAGCAATTCCCCAGAACTAAGTGGGAAAGCGTAATCAATGTATTTAATATTGAAAGTCATCTAGGAAAACTTTAATTGGCTGAAAGGACATTTATAGGTTTGGTACTGCTTGTCCAGACTGAGATTATATTAGAATTCGCATAGCTTGAAACTGACATATATATATAATATATAATATAGCCAACACCATGATGTATCTCAAAGCTTTATATATATAGCCAACACCATGATGTATCTCAAAGCTTTATACAGATCTTTTTGCTTCAAACCTCATGTTTACAATCCCTGGGAATAGAAGCTAATTGTTTTTAAATACCAAATGCTGATAAATATAACTCTATCAACAAACTACTAGTACTGGTATATAGTCCTTCAGGCAGCAGGCATGCTTTAGATAAGAGTGCATTGAGAAAAAGGCTCAGTACCCAATGCTTGAAAAAGAAGGGTAGGATTTAGTGACCCAGTAGGTATAAAATGCATATCTTTTTGCAAAGATGCTCTTTAGGTGTGGCTATCTTAAATCTTTGGTCTTCAGTTTACTCCCATAATGTTTTGTTTTCAAACTGTTAGTTTAAAAAGATTTGATCTTGTTGCACCTGAAAGAGCTTTTAAAGGATGTTCATTTGAACTGCACTGAATTTATAGACAAACAGTTGCATATACACAATCTTCTTCCCTCCTTCCTCTCTAGGTGGATATCTTATTATTGAAGGTGATCAAGCTGCTGGATAAATTCCTCCAGCTTATTTGTACCCACAGCCTACTGAACTCCATGTGTTCAAACACGTTTCACATTAAACTTGTAGTTGAATATAACAATGGTAGCCCAGATATTTAGCTACTGCAAGGTGGCTAAGTTTCAAACTTGGGCAAGGGACTTCAGCCAGATGCAGAGATAACAATAGGCTGTCTTTCAGTCCAAAAGAAACCTTCCCCCCCCCCCAAAATCCATACTTGCCAAGTTGAAAAGAGTCAGCAATTCTGAGTTTTGGTATTTTGCTTTCTCAATTCCTCTATCCCAGTGGTTCTCAACCTTTCTAATGCCGCGGCCCCATAATACAGTTCCCCATGTTGTGGTGACCCCCAACCACTTATACATCACCGGGTGCCAGGGGCGTGGCCAAAGAAAAAGGGGGGGGGAAATGGCGGACAGCCTTGTTTGGCGACCCCCGTGAAATGGTCGTTCGACCCCAAATGGGGTCCCAACCCACAGGTTGAGAACCACTGCTTATCATATGTCAAGATTGGAAATATTGGGAACAGATGGTTTTGGTTTGTCAATATTAAAATGAGCATGTCAGACTTTGAAAAAACGATTTCAACCACCTGAAAGGATTGATTGGAAAAATGGACCCTAAATCTATTGTGGCAAATTGAAAAGTTAGTCTATCATTACAGAAATTGGCAATGGAGACTATTCCGATCAATCTCTGTGGAATAGGTAATGTATAGACCTCTACGATATAAAGCCTGTATTGCTGAACAATGGGAAGTTTTCAAACTAAGGAAGTGAACATAAAACTTAATCACAGTGGGGGAAAAAATGGGGTGGGGGGAGATAGCCGTAGTCATTGCCAATGGCTTACAAAAAAATGTTGAGTCAATAAGTATTTTAATTTCTCCATTATCATCAGAACAGAACAGAAAAATGCATTTATGGAAGAGATTAAACAACATACTCTATAACTTGAACTCATGTTACTGAGATATGTTGACAACCTTCAAACATACTTTGGACAGAATAAACCGGGGATTTATTTTATATAGACAGCATGGGAAGGAAAGTTGAAGGGTACTGTTGATCAAGTAGTGTTCATTCCATGATGGCTTGTCCAGAAGAGCTTTCACACAGGATGTATCAAGAGACCTCACTTGAATAGACCTCACTTTTATCTATTATCACTGCTTACTAGCCAATTCTAACTCGTATCACTTCTTTATATAGGAACAGATACAAGCTTCTGAGAACAATGGCCTCCATGCTGAGTGTCCCCCAACAACTTCAAATTCTTAACTGCATCTTACCACATTAGATCTTTGGGATAATTTGTTGAAACCAGAACAAAACCACCTACAGATAAGAAATTCATTTGTAGACATGGCAGCTTCCTTTCATCTTGCTACAAATTATCCCAAAGATCTAATAACTGATCCTAATAAAGTTCTGGAAAGCAGAGGAGGCAGCCTCATAAGGCAACTGAGTTTTGTGGCTGCTATTAAAAGTAACAGAACTGAAGACAGATACAGATGTGGGACACTGTGCCCGAGAACAAATTCCTGTATGAATCCCACTGAAGCAAGCAGCAGCTATACAAGAATAATAACTCTAGTTCAACTCTGACAGGTATAATTTGGTCTTCAATGCTCATAATTGGCTACTTAGGCCTTGAGCAAATATATTTTTTTCATCACAAAGCAAAAGCACTTATATCATGCCATGCAGACTGCTTTTACTGAAGTATACCAATGCAGTCCACACAATTTACCTGCTCGTTTTCCCAAGGTAGCAAAAGCAACATCAATAGATGAGTTACATGCTAAAGGTAACCATGGAAAAAGAATAACACAAGAGAAGAATGAAGAATTCCTTGATCCTGCTCCTATTTACACATAGGGTTTGGCATCACGGTTTAGGATTTGCAAGGTTCCTTTCTCTTAGATTGTTAATAAGGAACTTTAGAAAAGGTCATTAGGATTTGATCTTCATTTGGTACCCTCATTATGCAAATTTATCCAATGGTTATCAATCTTTAGACTGGACATTTTCCAAAGCTTTAGATTCTATTCAAGCTTAGGAATCATGTAGGTATTATAGTTTATAAGAAACTACAAGCAAGGTTTTTCTTTGCCAAATCAGCAGTTTCAAGTCCAATTGATTTAAAATGTCCAAATAGTTGTGAATCTCTGTGGTATGGTACAAAGAACTCCAATTACTACTGGCATTATAGTTGATTTTTTTTTTATTCCAAAGTCCTCCAATTTCAAATTACAAATCTCAGTAATTTTTCCATTTGATTTTTATCATTTACATCCTAATATTTCTACATCTATAAACATCAGTTTCTTCCCCAGTAGCAGTAATGTCTGGTTTTTCAGTTGTCTCTTGGTCTGTATTTTAAAACTCAGGATTCTGACATCCTCATTTTCTTTTTCACACATGTGGTGCCAAGTAGCTTTTTTTTAACAGAAAAGCCAAGTTTTCCACATAGATTTCAAAGTATAATTTTTGTCGCAATTTCATGGCATTGATAATACACTCTGGGCAACTTTACTGCAGCAACTAATGAGATGATCTACATGTTCATCTTTGATCTTACGTAGTTGGTATTTGCTGTAGTTTAAAATATGTCCAATTTCGGCTTTGATGATTCATAACCTGTTGCCATGGTGGTTCTTCTGTGCTTTTTCTTTTAAAGAATCCCAGCTTTTAGCTGCAGCCAAGTCAAATATTGAAGTGATTCCCCTTCAATATCATGTATATACTGAACATGAAGAAATTTAGATTTTCAGGGATTAGTTTTCAGTGCTTCCTTTTTGTAATCTTTTTATTTTTATTTATTATTCTTTAGGGTTTTTTTTTTTTTTGTGCTGCTGCACAACCAACCACCCTGTTGGTTTTCCATAAACTGCTTAAGACCTGGCTTTTCCGGCAGGCCTGGGGTTTATAAAATCTGACCCCTGGATGACTGTTATTGTACTGTTTGTTTTGTCATGTTTTATGGTGTTTTTATTGTTAGCCGACCAGAGTCTTGCGGGAGTGGGGCGGTTTATAAATTTTAAAAATAAAATAAAATAAATAATAGGAGTGGTCTGTGAGAGTACAGAGAAAATTCAAGAATCCCCCATTAGTCTGTCCCTTCACTTGTCTGAAGAAAGGACTGCTTTTATAATGCATTCCTGGATTCAAGAAAAAAATATCATCACTGTTGACTATATTGTTGTTGTTATTTTAAAAGCATAACTAAGCTATAGTGAGAGGTAGACTTAACTTTCTCCCTCTTCGTTGCAAAAGTCCTTTTCAAAGGATTGTTCAGCTCAACTACACTGCTGGCATACAATGACTACTCCATCCCTTTGAAGAGAAAGGTTACAGATAAGTATAGTGCTAAAGTTCAAAGTTCTCCATGCTGGGCTGAGAAAGACTCAGATCTGAACCATCAGTGAATTCCTGAGAGACACAGCCAGTGGTCTAGAGGTATCCGAATCAATGATCTATCTTGGTTTAAAGCAGCTTCCTATGCTGAGCAATATGAACTTTATTTTGAGAGAACAAAAGACAGCTTAAAATTTGAGCCCTGTGCTTTTAATGACACCCACTTCATCATATAAGGTTAAATAGAAAAACCAGCTGAATTACAAGATACAAAATTATACCTTCTAGAAGCATCAATAGATAGTGGAAGCAGCTGCATATAGACGGGAGTGTTTCTGCCTTTTTCTATTCATTTCCCCATCCTAATTCTTTGTAGGGCTTCAATCTGAAGCTCACTTGCTTGGAAATCAGCTGCATGGGAAGCAAGAGAATTTACTTCCTAAGTAAATGCTCTCAACCCCCACCTCCCAGCAGTGAAAAGTCTCTAGGCACCTTTTCCTATCTTATTGTGGGAGAAGAAAAAACAGAAAGTGATGTTGCAAAAGAGATGACAACTCGAAGGACTCGACAAGCAGCCATGCATGGTGCGAACTTGCTCTGCAAGACAAATGTATGCAAGAAATCACACAGAGGTACCTAAAGATCTGTCGCCTTTTGTGAGAGCTAGAAGAAAAGCCTTCTTTGGCGAGTCTGTTGGTTAACATCAAAGAAAAGCATTGTTATGGGGTTTCCGGATCCTTGAGAAAGACTGAAGATCAGAAGGAAGCGTGCACAAGCTTTACTCACCTGCTTTCGTTCAGGAATCCATTTTGGCCCGACTAACCATCAAGCGGAGCCGCACAATTTGAAACAGAAATGGAAAGAAATCTCATTAGACAATGATTACGGCGGGGTGAACATCTCCACAAAGCCCTGTTAAAACTTTTCTATGGCTATAACAATCAGGTAGAAGATCTATAATTTTTAAAAAAACAGGTAGTCCTCAACTTGCAAAAGATCATTTAACGACCATTCAAAGTTACAACAGCACTGAAGAAGGTAACTTATGACTGTTTTCCACGCTTATGACGGTTGCGGCATCCCCGTGCTCACGTGATCAAAACTCAAGACGCTTGGCAACTGGCTCCTTATTTATGACATTTGTGCAGTGTCCCGGGGTCATGAGATCACCTTTTGCAAACTCCTGGGAGAGCCAGACCATGTTACCAACTTAACAACTGACGGGATTCACTTAGCAACTGTGACAAGAAAGATCGTAAAATGGGGCAAAGCTCATTTAACAACAGACCCAGTTCCCAACAGAAATGCCGGGATCGATTGTGGTCGTACGTTGAGGACTACCTATACAACTATGAAGAAATTTGGTGGTCGTTCTCTAACGGTGCCTGTGGACCCATTTGAATGTTCAGTATTTGATTAAACACAAATCACCTTATGGGTACATAGAATATTGAACATCTTCTGGGTCCCATGAAAATGTATCCACGCTTACCTCCCGTGCAAATATGCGTTCCCTAACCCTCTGGTATTCCTCTTCTCGTTCTTCTATGGATTTGCTCCTTCGTCCATCTTGCAGTGGGATCCTAATCTAATGACAAATAGAACTTTGTTCAGTCACAGCCTTACTCTGTGCCAAACCCAGCAGTAAATCGTATGCATACAATCAGCCATTACTTTTAAGCTGGCTGAGAGCACAACACACTGCGTAGATTTTTCTGGGTAAATTAGTTTGCTTTGAAAATATTTCTAGGTTTTAGCAAGCAATTTTTTTTAAAGCCCTTGATCACAACACTTATGACAACAAAAACTAACAATTATTTTTGCTTTCAACCATCACAGTTTGCATGTATAAACCAAGTCCATGCAGTCCATGGAACTGGTAGTCGGGCATGCACAACATGACCTCACCTCTGAAATTATAACACAATATCTAAATCTAAGTATCCTGTTAAACTGCAAGCTGTCCTTTTTTGTTAAAAGGAATAACAATCTAGGATGTTCCCTTCTTCGCTTTCTAGTTCACCAGAATCAAAATAATCTCACAGAATAAAAAGAGGTTCTTAACTCTCGGGTTTAACAATTGAAGCTAGACCTTACTCTTCTCTAATTCAATGAAAATATAAGGCCATAAAAAGAGCCCCACTGGATCAAGTCCAGAGCCCACCTGTCCACCATTCTTTGTTACCTAGTGGCCAAGTAGATACACTCTGGAAGCTCACAGGCATAGACTGCATAGATTTTTCATTGCTATTTCCTTCATCTTGGTTACTTCAGTTGATTATTTGCAAATGGTATTTAAGGGATACTTCCTGTGATTTCAGTAGTAAACAGTGGTCACTGATGTGCCAAGTAGTTGCCAGGCCGTCTACACTAGTGAGCTACAATTCATCTCTAGTGTCCCCAAATTCCACTAGTGACTATACGTTGCATAAAGGGCTACCTTCTTCTATTTGTCCTGAATCTGTCCACGTTTAGCTTAAATAACTTGCCCCAAGTTCTAATGCAATAAGGAAAAGGCATGGATTGCACGTAGGTCCATACAAACTTTGGATCCTGTAAGTAACGCTTTGCATGTTGAGTTGAATTTGTTACTTTCCAATCCATTCCAGCTCTTCTTGGAGCGCCCCATAAACCCTTTAAAAAAATACGATTCTGAAAACTAAATCACCAAAAGCCACTTCACCAGCCTTCCTGCAATTTCTTAAATTCCCAGTCCATATACCCAAATCTGTATCATGCTACTAGGAATTACGGGTGGTTGTCCCTTCGCTGCCAGAGGGCATCATATTAGAGAAGGCTGCTTTCCATGCAAATATGATTCTGACTTAATGATATAAAACATCTTGTGGGAACTTAATCAAGTAAAAAAAAAATATCGCAAACAAGCAGTGTCAGTAAACCAACCCAAGTGATGAAAGCTAATAACAATGATTGTTGTGCTTCATTAATTATGGAATGCAATCAGGTAAAAGTTATATCTGGCCTCTCCTACCTGATTATCATCTCGATCAATGCTGGTATCATCTCGCTTGAGGATAAACCTCTGTGGAAAATCAGAGTTCTTCTCATCTTTGATGTGTTCAGAGAACCTCTGCTCAGGACTGCGGAGAAGACCCAAGCCAATTTTTAGCAGATGAAATGGTGAAGCAGTCAGGATGTAAAAGAAGTAAAAGATTTATTCACATGCCCAATACATCAATGCGCCTATGAGGAGATATCAGGGTGGAAAAATCAGTGTTCTTCTGATCTTTGGCCAAGGGCTATCTGAACAGCATGTAACCTCTTTGAAGGTTTGCCCAGGAAATGACTTTTTTTCTTCTGATCACGGTGAGTGCTGAATGTAATGAATTATATGGTGAATATTCAGTCTAATGAAGTGTATACAGTCCATCTGAGTGCACCGGTGCATGGAAATGCAGAGTACACTAGGTGGATTAAAACAAGAATGTGCCCAACAAAGTGCTCAGAGAATCTCTGCTCAGGACTGCGGGGAAGACCCAAGCCAATTTTTAACAGATGAGATGGTGAAGCAGTCAGGTATGCAAAGGAAGTTAAAAGGTTTATTCACATGCCCAATACCCCAAAGCGCCTACGAGGAGATACTAGGTTCACAACTGGCATATGCCAGATTTCTGCCAAGCTATCCCCTCCATTCCCCAAGAGACTTCCCTTCAGACCACTTTTGGTCTATCTATCCTTAATACTGGTCAACCTATACTATCCAGATGAGCTCAGAATTTATCTAGGTAAAGCTTTATACTTGCAGCAGAATTGCATCCAACTTTACCAAGCTTTGGCCCAATAAGAAGCTTTGGGGGGACTCAGAAATGTTTGTCTTAGTGAAGCTAGAGAAAATTTCCTAAATCATGTTTGGCATGGAGTTGCTATTTCTGATAAAAATAATGCTCAGTGGGACATACTATTCTTTTCTTTCTAGCTACGTGCACAGGAACTGGAACCTCTAGCCTAAAAATCTCACAGGTGCATTTTCACCTTTGTTGCTGCTGTTGTTGTTGGGTCTGCAAAGCAACCTACCCCAGCAAATCAACATAGAATCTTCTTTACTGCTTTAAATGAGGAATTTCAATTTGAAAACCTGTAGAGAATTTGGAATCATTCAAAAAAAAAATAATAATAATAACTCGAGCCGTTTCTCTATTAGGAGGTGGGGGGGCAGAAGAGCTTGGATTCATTTCCAGTCCAACCTGTGTCAAGAGAAACTCATCCACCTTCTTACACTTGGCTTTTGCTCCCTGCCCCCTCCTCAGCCCTGGGGTACTTATAACCTTAAGGCTGCCAAGAAAGCCCAGTGTCCAAATGGTGTCTTTTTGAAGGGATTCTAAACTTGTGGCCTGTAAATACTGAAATTAAAAACAACAACAGCAACAACAACAAAACAAAATCTCATGCTGGTAGGCCCTTCACAGGGCAGTTTTAAAGTGCTACCTTAACATTAATGCCAACATAATTACAGGAGCGCTCTGGGAAACTCCAGCACACCCTGTAGAAAACAGAGAGGAAAAGTCATCTCCTGTTTCCTGCTGAAGAGGAAGGAAAAAATAGGGAAGAAAGTCGTAGCATTTTAGGTGCTTTTCTTCCATCAATGGGAAAAGCTAGAAGAATGGGGGAAAGGTTTGTGATCAGGAAAGGAGCGGTGTGTCTTTTTGGACATGTGGGTTGTGTGTCTGATAGAAGTTTCCAAGTAACTGGAGGGCACCATGCTGCCTGTCACAATTTTAGGAGAAGGGCAGTCACTAAGAGGTTGTCACAAAGAGCTTTGACTGATATGTTCCGCTGCTATCATATTAATCAATTAGGCAATGCAAGGGAAGGAAAGACAAAAATAATCTCAAGGTTGCTGCAAGCAGCCTGCACAAGGAGCAGTAAAATATGATGGTCCTAATGGTATCTTATAACTTTACAATTGTAGGATTAGCTAGTTAGAAAGAGCTCTGACTATTTCAAAAAGCAACAGAAAGGTTAAAGGACTAAGAATGTAATTTATTTCCCAGCACCCCCTTCCTAGCTGAAATGCATTCTTGCCTTACATTCTTGTGTTGCCGGTCTTGTTGATAATCACAGCTTTCCCCGTTTGGTCTACGTTGTGATCCATGCCAAAATAGGCAGCCACCCGATGTAGAAGCATTCTGTGGTATGAGGTCATTTGAGGAAACTTCTTGAATTGATTGCTGACCACAGCAAGGGCAAAGGGGAAAAAGGAGAAAGAATAAGACAATAAAAAAAATTAAAGCCACAAAACACTACAATAAGACAATAAAAAAATTAAAGCCACAAAACACTACGCTGCTTCAATTAAAAGTGTCATCTCAGAATAACTTATGCTGAAGTTGTTTACTAAAAGCAAGGGGGCAAAGGGAGTAATGAAGCAACCCTGACTTTAAAAAGCTGGCAAATTAGGTACAGAATGAAAAATGCAAACTCCCAATTTCCATGCCATTACATGAAATGCTCTAGGGTAGGGGTAGGCAACCTCGGCTCTTTTATGGCTCATGGACTTCAACTCCCAGAATTCCTGAGTCAGCATAGCTGACTCAGGAACTCTGGGAGTTGAAGTCCATGAGTCATAAAAGAGCCGAGGTTGCCTACCCCTGCCCTAGGCCTATGAAATGAAATGAAACAAAATGTTAGTTGGAAAAGAGAAAGACTGACTCTGAGCAATAACAGATTCTACAGGATGTCTTCAATGAACATAAACACTTTCTAAAATATAGCCATCTGCAGAGAACATCCTGCTATGATATAAGGGGAAAGATTTGAGGAAAAGAATAACTTGTGAACGTTCGTTTTTGACATCTTCAGCATCTCTTGATAAGTCTAAATCAAAACTAAACATTTATTTGTCAATACAGTCTCCTTTTCTGTTGCAGCTGAAAACCCAGCTACCAAAAAAACCTAGAACTGTGCACATACAGTGTGACAAGAACAAGAATCAGTAATTAACTTTTACCATTTAAAATACTATTTTATTATTTTCTTGACAGACTTAGACTGGGAAGGTCACATTAATGGTTTCAATTTTTTATTTGAAAACAATACAGTAAACTCATATATATTAGAATCAACTTTTGACCACAGTGGAGCCTGGAATTTCAGATGTTGTCGAGGCACCTCGTGACAGACTTGATTTTATGACCATTTTTACAACAGTCGTGAAGCAAGTTTTTAAGTGGTTTTTTAAGGGTATCATATGCTTCTTAAGCAAAGCCATTCTTCCAAATGATGTGGGGGGGGGGGTTGCCAGAAACCAGCAAAAAATGCCAGAACCCCATTTAAAAAAAAGTTGCATATTGTAGTCATGTGACTATGGGGCATTGGAACCAGTTATCAATGCAAGTCAATTGTCAAATGCCTGAACTGCAATCAGGTAACTGTGGAGTGGGAGGAGGGCAGTCAACCAGTTATAAGTCAAGAACAACCTGTAGCTTCCCATCAGTTGCTGCCTGCCTTCCTCAATTTACAGTCTTCCATAACCTGGCCCTCTGTAGATGGGGCTTTCTTCTTGTGATCATTCTCAAATTGCAGTTATAACACGTCTATGTGGTGCCAAATGCAGGCAGAACAAATAAATATTTGTTTCCAAATGAGTAATGCTCAAATAGATCTTCCTGAAAACTGAACATGTGGGCAGCCTTGATCATTGGTTCCATGGCAGCTGGTGGGATGAGTTATCAGAGACACCCTCATTCAGCAAATTTAACAGATTAAAAGGTCAAGCTAAACTACTGTGGAAAGTATCCATTAATTTAATACCAATGCGAGCAATTAAAGCATCACTAGCAACTCAGTAATATTGCCTTACTCATACAATATTGAAAGTTTATTAAAAATCATTGACAATTTAAGTAACCCAGAAAAATCTTATCATCTCTACTAGTAGCTCATTCAGTACACCTGGGAGTAATGTGGACTCTTCTAGGTTAGGCACTGAGGCAACTCTTCCTATAGTTTTATGCAATGAATGGCTTGTGCAACCAATCCATTTCAAGTCATGTGTATGGGCTATAGCAGTGGTTCTCAACCTTTTTAATGCCGTGACCCCCAACCGGTCGTAGGTCGAGGACTACTCAACCGGTCGTAAGTTGAGGACTACTCAACTGGTGCAGCACCATTTGCAAAATGGGACTTTTGGCGGGCTCAGCAAGGCAGAGACAGCCTGGACAATTCCTATTGGCTTTTGAAAGCCAATAGAATTAGACTCTATTCAAGAATAAAAGCTAAGGAAAAGGGGAAAAAAATGGCAGACTGCGTTGTTTGGCGACCCCCGTGAAATGGTCATTCGACCCCAAATGGGGTCCCGACCCACAGGTTGAGAACCACTGGGCTATAGGAATAATGACTTAAAAATCGATATATTACAATGTTAATATTATATGCACATATCTCTATGTAATAAGCTGCTCAATGTCACCTGGCATCAACGGACATGTAAATACCAAGGGAAATAAACCTAAAGCACGAACCGTATTATAGCTCTTGCTTGAATCTTGGTATATTCTGCCCCAAACAAACAATTGTCAGGGTAGGATAGTTGAGTGTATCAATTATTTCATTTTATGATCAGAATAATCCTGTAATTAGATTTGGCCAATTATAAGGACCCAGTGACAACGATCCCTGATAATCAAAACTGCAAATCAATAAGTCTCCAGTCAGAGCTGTTCATATTACAGTATTTTTAACCTGCTGAATCTGTGATTTTTAGCTAATCCTAAGAAATTGGCTGGGCATTACATGATTACATTACATATACGATACACACGCACCCACTCTCACACACACAATGATTATAGGCCACTGAGGCTTAGCAAACATGTTTATTATAGACTTGAAGATAGCTTTATTATAAAGGGTTGGAAAGTTCTTTGACAAATAAATGAATAGCTGCACAGTCAATTGAAGATGTTTCTAACACTGGAGAAGATAATGATAAGCCGACTTTGTTTTTATATCAACTTTTTATTATGTTGAATTCAGAGAAAACTGTACAAGTTGCAATGTGTGCAGAGGTGTTCATAGGTGTGGCAATTAGGGTGGCTGTGTGAAAAAAGTAAAATGCTGCCCATAAAAAAGACATGGCTTTTGACTGCACGGAGGGTACTGCCCCCTCAACTTGGCAGACACCCCCTACCCCAAGGGATGCCCTGAAATTTTGTGCTGCAGCAGCTTGTGCATCCAATTATGACTGGAAGGGCCAGGGTAAAATCCCCATTTAACTATAACGCCTTCTGAATGATTGAAAATATTTCCAAAGATAAAACTGGGGGGGGAGGGGGGGAGAAGAAGAATCTTAAAAGCTATGCTAAGCTGCTTGGAGAAAGAGAAAATGGAAAAAAAAATACCAAAATGGCTTTATATTTTTATGCTGCTGGTTCAATTACGAGCCAGAGAATTGTATAACTGGGAATAACATCTATTACATTCAGAGACATTATTCTGAATCCAGATGCAGCATTTAAAGAATTATTTGTAAAAATATTAAACAAATGGAGAACACGGAAACTCCATAGCTGCTCTATATCAATCCTTAAAAAAAAACAACACCTACCTGGGTCCTACATGCAAATGTACTAACTTTTAATCTGTTGAGGAAAAGAGGGGAAGGAAACAGAGCACCTGCATTTTCATCAAATGGAAGACTTTCATCTCAAGACAAGAAAGCTTGTGGTCTCTACGGTTACCCTTACTCATAAATCAACCCACATTACTTACTTGTTATCATTAATAAATTCCAGGATCTCCTGTTCTAATTTTAGCAGCATCATCCTATCCCTGTCAAAGAAAATCATGGGAGAAATAGAGCAAAACATTCAGTGCAGGAAAGAAAAGTCTCTTTGAAAAATCTGCAGATTTATGCCCTCCTCTTATTCTAATATTAAGCTAAAAGCTCAAGGTAATTCAACAACAAAGGCGCTGTTACCTGTTCTGCACTGACAGATGCAAAACAGATGTAGCAAGTTAAAAGCAGTACTTTTTTGTTCAGGCAAATTCGTTTCTGCATAGAGACTAGAAACACTGTAGCCCACAGGCTCTCATACATTTTCTATTATTAAAGAAAAACAGTATATCAAAACATGGCTACCGTGAGACATTCAGTTTCAATGCTGTTTATTAATGAAATAGCAGAAGCACAGTAGAGCTATTTAAAGGAGGATTTTTAGAATTATCACTGTTCTTTGTAACTGTGTAACTCATAGCCATTTCCCCTTTTCTGTTCTTGCATCTGTTCTTGCATAAGATACGCTAATATACAAATGTAGCATAGCAGGATATCAATGCATCTATTTTAATAAAAGTCTGTGCTGCTAGATAGTCGGCCTAGCCAGTGGTTCAAGCTTTAGAGAAAGACTAAGACCAAGCTTAAAGACCCATTGGCACCATGAAGCTTACTTAGTAACTCTAGGCCAGTCACATTTTCTCTATACTATGTACATCCCTCTTACACCTCTGGAGAGACCGCAAAAATGTAAATGAGCAAGCAAACAAGTAGCAACATGCTTGCATCATTAATGATTCAGCTTTCCATAATTTTCTAAAGCCTCAGATGAATGATGTAACAAAGCTAAGATTACAGTCCAGTAACAACGCGAGTAGGAAACCTGTAAACATCATGTTACGCTAAGAAAAACATAATGAGATTTTATTCATTATTACATATTTCAGATAACCTACAGACAGGGTCAACTTACCCTACCAAATGTTGTCCTGTTATATCGTACTACATGACTAGGCAGACGATGGGGAAAGTTCTCACAAATATTCTGATCTCCATTAATGGTAAATTGGTAATGGTAAAGGAAAGGAAGATACTAATAAAGTCATAGACCAATCAGCACTAGTCTAAGAACTATTATCATGATTCCTTGGAGCACTGTTACCAAGAACCTGGGCCTTAGTCAAAGCCCAATCCCTTCCAATTCCAGATCTCACCGTTGCCGTGTCAAGCTCAAGACTTTCCAGAGCAAGATAAGCATGTAAGTGCTTGGGAGTAGCAAGACTAAGTAAACTGAGAGGACACTCTAGGATTAATTTATATGTAATTCATGTTCTCGATACTTACATCATTCCATGATTTCAGGAGGGCATGGAAGGCTGCTTAGCTGCTCCATCCTACCCTTAGCAGACACATACCAACATAAACATGTTAGATTTTTGGCAGCTAACACTACCCTTGGTTATATATGCGCCTCTTATTTTTAATTCTGCATGCAGTTGCAGGATCCACAACAAGACCGCTCCTGAACCTACCTTGGATTTTTCTTCAGTGTATTTACTAAAAATTCATGCAAATCTATTCCAGTGGAGTCTGTGTATTCCTGGCTGGAATCTATAACAGACAATAGAAGCAGACTCAAGAAATGACCTACATATAGAAGGGAAAAAAAGAAAAAAAGGGAGGGAGGGAGGGAGGGAGGGAGGGAGGGAGGGAGGGAGGGAGGAAGGAAGGAAGGAAGGAAGGAAGGAAGGAAGGAAGGAAGGAAGGAAGGATCTGGCATTCAAGCACTTTAATGCAGATAACGGAATGGACATAATTTTAGTACAATCTTTTCCATCCATTTGGATACAAAATGTTGCACTATAATTCCCTTTTGCGAAAATACTGCTCAGAATAAAAGTAAACAATGAGAGCTATAGTCCAACTCATGTAAAGTTATAGTTGAGAGCCTATGAGGTATTTTCTGTCAGATATTACATGCACTTCACTCCACACTCCAAACTTCTCCCTTTAAATTCAACTTTAAACCATGAGGATAAATTGGAGAGTTTAAATTAAATTAAAATATTAAATTTTAAATATTTCAATGTGACTATTTTATTTACTAGTCATTCTACCATAGTGGAAGGGCTTTCACCTTGTGTAGCTCCTAAAAGATGAATATATAAATCCGGACTACAGAAAGACGAAGGGCTTATTTGATTGAAGCATGTTGTGATACATCCCTGAATTCTTGTTATAAAATATCAGCCTTTATCATTGTAATCAATGAATTTGAATATTTCTTAAGGTAGTGAAAGGGATCATCATTATCATTACTATAAAATGACATAGACCAGAAATAGAGTAATCTTGTTTTCTTAGAGTGCAAATTGTCAAGCCTCAGTGCTTGATCTTCAAACCTCCTATTAACAAAAATTACACTAATCCATCAGAACAAGTTGTGTGGGACAAATCATCACACACCAGGTTTTTATAATGAAGTATGTTAAGTTCAGCATTATTTACAAAGTCTTTTCATCTCAGAGGAGGAGAAAGCAAACTCAGATGTTGTTAGCAGTTTTTGGCTTCTTTTACTCAAATTTCTCATTCTTTTCATCCCAAATTGCAGAGTTTAGAGTTGCCAGCCCAGGTGAATTGGTTGGTTAAGTAGGATTTGTGCTTTATAGGTCTATTTAATCAACCAGTTCATACTTCTGCACACCAATGAACAATTTAAATCAAGCAACTCAGCAGAACATCAACAAACAGAGTTTAAATATTTGAAGCAATTATTTAGTGAGCTGCAGCTCAGTGGAAGTGTGTATGTTTGCTAAGCTATGTCTGCTTGAACATGGCATTCTCCAGGAAAACAAAGTCTCATTCACATGTCTTCTCTTGATTGATACACACACATATATATAAAACTCAGTCTTAGACCCTCTGTGGGCTGACAAAATGTGGACACGGGAATCCCCAATACTGAGTGATACATAGGATAATTGTTGCATGCAATCTGAAGATAGTTTTTCCAGTTTTGCAGGTTATTTCTGCTAAAGAATGGCAGAGTCTTCTCTTTTAATCCTCAGGATTATTAGTTCTTTCAAATTTGATGCGGGGGGGGGGTGGTGGTGGTGAGGGGAAAGGGGGAGGCAAAGAGAAATGTATTGCTATCTAAGCTTACAAGAATAATTCTAAAATACTTTCATACAGCTCTGAGATGGTGAAATTTGTGTGTAGTGTGCCAGTGGAAAGAAATAAAAGATCTACAGGTAACCCTCTTTGAGCGGGCTGCAATTTTTTCCTTTACTTTGTCTTCAATGGGAGCCTATAGTGGCTAATCAACACATTGTGATTTGAGTAGACCCAGACGGGGAGGCTCAGATACAGAAAAATGACTGGATGATTTGGGCCCGGTTCCATCACTTCAACCAATCTACCTCACAGGAGTGCTGTTTAGCGGGAAAATTATGGCTATGTATTCCTTGAGGAAAGGCAGGATATGCAACTAACAAATAAGTGATCAACAAATTGAATGACATCAAATATATTACACAAGCTTCAAGGATTATTAAAACATGTTACTAATTCACTTTTAAGTTTTTAGGAAATGTGTCTTTTATTAATTTACTGCCATCGTCCAGGGGCCTGGAATTTTGGAATTTTACAAAGAGCAGATGTGACTGGAACCTAAGATTGTCTTACCTCTAGACAACATTTTCTTGGGGGCCTTCTCTTTGTTTTTCTCTTTTTCTTCTTTTTCGGGACCATCTTTTGCAGATTTGTCATCTTCCTTGTCAGATGGGCAACTGATGTGCAAATGTATGATATCCTAATGACAGGACAAAAGCTGTATTTGCTGATGCTTTGCAATCAACAGAAGCTGGAAGCATCGTATGATCAACTTTTTGGATCTAGGAAGGAATTTTACTTTGGGTCAGGTTGGCCACCAATCACTGAAGATTCTGGCCTACCCTTCTCCATGTGGCTAAGTTCTTATCTGTGTGTGAGCTTTAAATATGTATATAATATATAAGTGGAATCAATAATTTTTGTATGCTATCAAAGTTCCCTACAAATGAGGCAAACAATAAATATACTAAAAATATTGATTTGAATTGGACAACCTAGACTAGCCAGGTTGTTCTGTCCCTGTTTTTCCTTGCTTATCCCACTCAAAAAAAAAAAAAAAAAAGGGGGGGGGGAGAATGTGATATTTCACACTAAGAAAACATTAAATTCTGCTTAGGGAGCCAACCAAGAAATGATCAAGTAGGTGTGAAAATGGAAGTCTTTTCCAGATCAGATAGGTTAACAACCCAGTGGATTTTGCACTGATATTTTCTAAGCATAACTCACTTGCTTGAATAATCTATACTACTGGGTTGGTAAATCACCTCTCCAGTATGTGCCATCATTCTTGATTTTGTCTTCTTATTATAGCACCCAATGCCTATAGCACCCTACCTGATCTATGGTGCTTTACTATATATGGATGATCATAGTTTGTATCATTTTCTGCATAGATTGCTGTTCTACAGGAAGGAGATATTCAAGTCCCCCAATATGTAGATATTATTTGGAATCACTAGAAGATTGTAATCAGACCATTGGAGTTTACCGATATGCCAGTGGTATATCAATATCACTTTTAATGCATTTTAACTTGGCTATCGCGTTGCCACAAGATGCTATTGGTTCAGACAAGTTTTGCTCAAGATACCTTACCTTAATCTATGCCAGAAATAATTAATACTGAAAGGGATTCTTTACCCCCACCACCCCCAGCTGCAAAGGGTACTTAGTTATTATTTGGCTTACTTGGGTTTCCAAAGGCCCATCCACAAAGGGACTAGAGGATTCTTCACATACAGCCAGACTCCTCACTAATTTCAGTTTCGAATTTGACTGAAACAAACAAACACACAAATGCTTCTGAAGTTAAGATGCAGCTGACTACAGCCTCCTTTTGATGTGTCATGGACCTGCCAGTCATTTACTAGTAATTAAGGTAGCACTATCTATCAGAAAGATAGATTCCTTTTTTTTTTTTTTTTTTTTGCCATGGAGCAATACAAAGGGTGTCATCTCCATCAATATTAGTAAGCACATCACTAAGACAAATTTCTTCTCTTGGCATCTTAGATGGGATCCCATTTTATATGACAATTTGCTGCTGCATATGACCTCAGTTTCTACCTGAACCTAAAGAACAAATACATGATTTGAGCTTCTCAGTTGCAAATTCATTACATAATCCCCCCCCCCCCAAATGTAGCAAAAGTAAATAATAAATAAGTAGATTCTTCCTGTCTTAATTCCAAACCTATCATTCTACAGCTGGCACCTTACATGTATTTTCAACAAACATAGCCACTCTGGGTGGTTTGCCAGGTCCATTGAAAAATATGCTAAAAATAAAACTTTGTCCCAGACAGCTTGTAGATTTGGGGAGGGGGTTGGGGCAGGGAATGGTGATGCCCCACAATATTTTACATAGGTCAAGCCCACGTGGTGAAATACGGATTCTTGAGAATGTACTGTACACATTTTCATATAAATAAATGGAAATAAATTAATCTGACTCCAAGGACTACCAGTTGGAGGCCTTTACTAATATAAGGAATATTAAAAGCATTCAGGACAAATGCCTAAAAGAGCAAGCTTTAATTAAGTAGTGATTTACTCTCAAATTATAAAACGTAAAACTCCTATCAACTCTGTTTTTACAGATGTAGCAAGCTTAGATTTATTTATTTTATAATTTTTGTAAGCAGCCCCACGATTCTGAGTGGGAGCAGCAAAGCAAAACAAGATAAGAACTCTGGGCTGCACCGATTCAGCCTGGAGTGGCCGAAAAGTATGAATGAATTCTCCTTCACAACCAAAAAAGGAAAACAAAACCAGTATGTGGTTAACAAGCATGCCAGGCAAAATGAAAGTGAGCTTGGCTTTCCTCACAGTGTGGCATTCCTCTATATATGGGGGGGGGGGTAGATGGGGAAAGATTTAATAATGGGGCATTCCATCAATGCCCTGACTTATTGTATGCAACAGAACAACCGAGACATAGCTAAAACAAATGAGATTCTAAAGCCAGAACTAGAACAAATTTAACATGTTCACATGGATTTCAGAAGGTGGATAACTTTCAGCATACTTTCCCAAAAACTGTATGCTCTACAGTTATTCTTTAGCCACAGAGAGAATAGGGGCCTTAGCCTCCCATCTTGAGATGCCTGGATAAAGTGCCTGTGAGCTACTCAAAAGACACATCTGAAAAATCCTTGCGGGACCTAGGAATAAAATGCGATACCAGTGGCATTCTGAGCCTTGGAATCGGTTATGAATTCAAGACTGCGAAGTACTGAATCTGGCACCCTATTAGGAAGGCTGGGACTCGGAATTAAGGATGGAAACAGCTTTAGTGTCACATCACCATCTTCTGAAGTATAACGATAGGACAATATAAAGAGATTGACACTGACCGGAATCTCTTACCTTAGCTCTTTTTCTAGCATGTCCGTGATTGGATGTTCTCTTCTGTTTAAGAAAAAAAAAAAAGAGATGGGAATAGGAAGAAGGCGAAAAGTTATTCTCTGCACTTTTTATACATGCTAAGTCACATGCTAGGAGATGAACGAACATGTTATGGCTGAGTTTGCAGAAAAGGCCACGTTGACTTGTTTGATTAAGGAGGGAACTACAACTACTTTGATAAAAGACTAGAAACGCTTTATTCTTTTTTTTTCTGAAAATGGATAAAAATGAACTGATTTCATGATTTGTTAATTAAAAATATTTTTATGGGAAGAAGGGAACTACGATATGCAATATGTTAGGAAGGAGGTGATAATTGCTATGTTTGTAACTGCTACAAAGATTATTTATTTATTTATGAGACTTATATACCGCTTCAAGTGCAAGCACTCTCTAAGCAGTGTACACCAGTAAGCAATGTATATATATATATATTTACATTGCCCCCAACAATCTGGGTCCTCATTTTACCTACCTCGGAAGGATGGAAGGCTGAGTCAACCTTGAGCCGGTGACATTTGAACCGCTGACCTGCTGAACACAGTCAGCTAAAGTAGCCTGCAGTACTGCACTCTAACTGCTGCGCCACCTCGGCTCTTAGAAGTTGCTTCTTTAGACAACTTTATTTTGGTTTTTTTTTTCTTATTCTTCACTTTTCTTTTACCTTTTTATAATCTTTTTTCTTCTTCCAAGTTTCTGTAATTTGTTTAAATCTCAGTAAAATCTTCTTTTAATAAAAAAAATCATAAAAATGTGAGTATGTGCTATAAAAATGTACCTCCCAAGCATCCCCAAAGCTTAAAGAAGCAGGGGTGATAGATATAAGTCAGGGGTAGGCAACTTTGGCTCTTTTATGACACGTGGACTTCAACTCCCAGAATTCTGGGAGCCCAAGGTTTCCAACCCCTGGTATAAGTGCACTGTTGACTTGGAGAAATTACCTCTCTGTCCATAGATGAATGACAAAGGCATAGCAGTTGAAATCCAGTAAGCACAATTAACAATGGAATCAATTACCCAGAGAAATGGCAGTACTCTCCTTCACTGGATGTGCTAGACATGGTTGCAGATTTCTGGGAGTTGAAGTTACACAGGATTTAAAATTGCCAGAGTTGAAAAACATCACATTTGCTCTTTGTCAATTCACTTCGCCAATAAATTAAATTAGGTTTCTGCACTTGGAAGATGGACTCAGTGGACTAAATTACTGTTTCATTTTTAGGATTCCCATACTAGCTTTACCCAATCTTGTGTTATCCAAGTAGGATAGAAATAAAATTCCCAATTTTTTCATCCAGCAGAAATCTACACAGAGCCTGCCCTCTGCCTCTTCTTCCTTTCTTTACCATTTTGTCAAACTGTATATATACTATTAGTTTAGCATACGAAGGAGGAGGCAACTGCTTTTCAGAATTAACATAGGCACAATGCTGAATATTTAACACATTCTGTCTTCATCCAATTAATAATTAAAGACTGGGTTTCCATCATGTTAAAAGGCATTTTTGTATTACACCAAGAAATGATGGCGGTTTCTCTGCTGAACGATATACTTTCTTGCAAAGGAAAGATACTGTCAGTCCTAGGCCTGTTTCTGAAATTCTTATAAGAGGTATAAATGCAGTAGCCAAAAGGCTTGGCGTTAGCTGATTACTTCACATCACAAAATTACACAACTTGTCATTTCCACGACACACTTACCAGAGTCTAAGAAAAACTGAGTCATTTGTATGTTTAGGGAAAATCCAAAAAGATGTGATGACAGCAAATTAAACATCAAAAGGGCAAATGAAGAAACAGAATGCAGTTCAAGTAAAGAAATATGTTGTGTCCAAAACAAAATTTGTATCACTTAGTTACAGGGGCTTAAAAACAGACTTCAATTCTCTTCCAGTCCCAATGCCCTTCTTCCTTCCCTTAAATTGACTTTTAATTCCCAACTTTTCTGTCCAGATTTTGCTAATCCTACACTTACCATGCTTAAAATGAAGACTATGCATGTAGCAGCAACAAAACTTGCAACTTGTATATTATTCCTTGAATTAACAGTCCATTCTAGATTGTACTGATATTTGATGGTGATGGTGGGGTTATATGGGGGGAGGAGAAGGGGAGGAAGGAGAACTCTTTTATACAAAAAAAAAGATGAAAAAATGGCCAAAGGAACAGCTGTTAAGAATTTAAATAGGGGTGGAACAGACAGCCAAAGTAAGAAATGGATGAATATGTGAATAAATGAAGCGGCATTCTATTTCAGATTTTGAAGATGGAGGAGGAGGTGATGTCACATTAGTACTTTGGGTGGACTTCCAGGGATGGAAGGAAGAGGGTGAGTTGTTTAAGTGAGCAGGAAATTTCTAAGCAGGAGATGATGGTAAAACTGAGATATATTCTATGGAGCTTCTAATGCAGTGGTTCTCAACCTTTTTAAAGCCGCGACCCCAACCGGTCGTAAGTCGAGGACTACCCAACCAGTCGTAAGTAGAGGACTACCCAACTGGTCGTAAGTCGAGGACTTTCTCTGCCCGGGAGCGCCACGCATGCATGGTGCTGCCCCCTGAGCCGGCCGAGGCGTAGCTGGCAAGTGGCAGAGATGGCGCAGGCCGACCACCGGCTGGGCCACCAGTTGGCCCAGCCAAAGGGAGGTAAAGCACTCGCCGGGCCCCACGCACGCCAGCAACCCTCCTTGCGCCCGACAGCCTCCCACCTCCCACCCCTGGCCCTCTTTTACTTACATTTTTAGTAGTTGCTCAGCAGAGAGGGGTGGAAACTTCCAGACAGCTCGCCTTCGCTGCAGACAACTTGCAGCACCGTTTGCAGAATGGGACTTTTGGCAGGCTCAGCAGGGCAGAGACAGCCTGGACAATTCCTATTGGCTTTTGAAAGCCAATAGAATTAGACTCTATTCAAGAGAGTCTATTCTATTGGCTTTCAAAAGCCAATAGAATAAAAGGGAGTAGGACAGCTAAGGAAAAGGGGGGGAAATGGCGGACTGCGTTGTTTGGCGACCCCCGTGAAATGGTCGTTCGACCCCAAATGGAGTCCCGACCCACAGGTTGAGAACCACTGTTCTAATGGATTAATTTAGCAACATCACTAAAGATAACTGACCAAGATACTAGAAAATTAAGTCCAAGGTCTGTAGCTATTCAATTATGGGCTTTCATGGGCCTACTGGTTTGGCTATCTATGAGACATTATGTCCAATTACCTGAGATTCTTGCCGTACGCTGCTCTCCTCCCCGTCCTTCTCAGGCTCCTCTTTGCTTGGTGACCTGGATGCAAATTTGGTTTTGTTCAAAGATTCCTCAACCAATCTTTTTTCTGATTCTTTCATTATCTCCAGTGTCTCCTGTGTGGTGTTGCTGTTAGACATCTTCAGCACAGTATAGTGTTAGTGATGGATACCTGCAAGCAGGAGGAGAAGGGTTGGAATTTGTTTGTTTTTAACATACCTCTATTATTTATAACATTTCCTATTTTTTGCCTCTTTCTTAACTGAGGCTTGCCTAAAAGAGGCTTTTTGGCTTCTTAAAATCCCTCAGGATGCACAGAACATTCTTTCTATTATTGGGAGATATATTACAGATTCCAGATCAATTCATACCTGTTACAGTTGAAAAGAACATTCAAGTACTCCTTTCCCTACTCAGATTTTGACAAAGCAGCCCCCAAATAGTTGTTCTTTTTGATAGAGGAATATGTTATTGGATTTTCTATTTTCCCCACAAGAATAATCCTATGAGGTGGGTTGAGCTAAGACAGGAACTGTCACCCAGCCAGCTTTCATGCCAAGGGAGGTTTAGAATTCACAATCTCCTGGTTCCTAGGCCAACATCTTACCCATGACCTCAAACTGGCTCTCTTTTAATATATAGTATCTTCTTATCAAGACTATGGCTGGGTGACTTGCATTCTCTTTTCCAACTCAATGTTGTGCTAATCAACCCCTTCTCAGTACCTAGATTGGTCAGTAAAAGACATCCCACAGATACACTTATCATGTAATGGAGTATATACAGCACACACTATGCTAGTACACTTGACATATTATTTATTACTGGTATTTCTATGCTGCTCTACTACAAAACTACTTCAAGTGACAATGCAAAGCAAAGCAAAGCAATGCACACAGGACAGTACACCAATTTTCCATCTGCATCATCACATAGCTAATTGGTAGATATTTTCTCCAGTATCTCTGTTAGGATTATGATGAACCTGCCCTAAAGGCAAAGAGAATTAAAAGTAAAAAAGACGTTTCCTCAAGCTTAACTAAAGCTGCACATTTTGGTTTGGAAAAGCAAAATGACATAAAAGAGAGAATTCCACATTATCAAGCACGTGATTTTAGGAAAGCAGCCACTAAGTGAGTTGATACCTATACTATATAAGGATTGAATCCAGATCTCCCCAGGACTGCTATTCTTCCTGGAGGAATTTACCACTGCATTTAAATTACAAAAACCCTTTCATTCAAAAAACAGATGCTGCAGATTGCAAGTACTGTAAATTCAGTAAGTCACCTTTCAGATCTAGCAGCATCTTCTCAAATAGGCTTCATAGGGACCTGAATTCAGGTGGCTTTTTCTCAATTGCATTTAAGCAGCTGAAAGAAAAGCAAACCTATCCAGAAGCAGTTCCCACTTTTTGTCAAGTTTTGTTAGTGCTGCTGAGACTTCCCCGCACTCTTTGTTAACAAGCTATTTTTAACAAAATGCAATAATAGAAAAGAAAATATCATTGCTGGTTTTGTGCAAGATTAGGAATGTGGCTAGTCTTACAGAAATTCAGCTAAATAGGAATGCTGGTTTAAGTGCAAGGCCTTGCCTGTGCCTTTCTAAACCTATAGAGCGCATTATTTTGAGGACTCTTGGTATGAAACAATTTGGAACCAGAAAGCAGAAGCCCTAGAGAGTGTTCATCAACTCATTTTATTAAGCAACTGCCAAGTCTCAACAGAAAAGCAGTCAAAAGCACGAAGATTTATTGAATGTTGAATGTTGGCCGTAGGTTGGATTTACTAATATAGGCAGACTAATTCAAAGTAATTTCCTTTTAATTTGTAGTGCTGTAGAGCAACAAACATACATTATTGCTGATTTTACAGCCAGCAGCCTTGGTAATTACCCATGGGAAAGCCAGAAGTGTGATTTTCAGACAATTGTTACTCAAGTGGGGAGGAGAGGGAAGAATGGTTGGTTCATTCTTACAATGGGTTAAGAAAGTAAGCTTTCATGACAAATTGGGGGAGGGATCCATGCTTTTTACAATTTTGCTTACCGTCATTTCTACATATTATAGGGCAGGGATCTTCAAACTTGACCCTTTTATGACTTGTGGACTTCAACTCCCAGAATTCCTCAGCCAGGCATGCTGGCTGAGGAATTCTGGGAGTTGAAGTCCACAAGTCATAAAAGGGCCAAATTTGAAGACCCGTTATAGGGTAACTTAACTTTCCTGCCAACATTAGGCATTTAAAAGTAAATATTAATACATGTCATGTGTGAATTGGTGACTCTCAAACCCTTTACACATGCAAGGGGATATAGGAAAAAGCTCTGTCACTAAGCTAAGTGGGACTTATTAACAAAACATTCACCTGCACTCTCCTGAATGTGATGTCTAAGCCCATCAGTGAAAAGTATACTGATTTCACTCACTTTATAGAAGTGGAAGAGGATCCAGAATAACCTGTAACATTATGATTGCTATTGGAGCTGTGGGGGAAAAAAATCCGTGCATGAATAACAGGTTATCTGATTTGTCCATGTCAGAACCAAACATTTGGAAATAGCTGAAAGGGGAAAATGAAGAGGTTGGGAAGATAAGGCTGGCAGGAGAGCTGCCCTGTAGTCCATTTGGAGGAGAAAGGGAATAAAAAGCCAAACAAGCAAGAGACTTTGGTTGTACCACCAAAAACTAGAACAACTAACATGTTCTAGGGAGAAAATGGTTTGTTCTTTGTGACAAACCTTCTCTTTGCTTTCTAGTCATTTTTCTTTTGAAAAACCCTTTCCTCCAGGGATAGTCTGTCGGAAGCCACAGAATATATAGGCCTGAAATGAGGCCCAAAGGTGAAGCTAAAGCAAAAGATGGAAGAGGCAGAATCCTGAGGAGCTGGAACCTAAATCTGGGAAATCCTCCCTTGACAAATCTCTCCTTGAACTTTAACAAAGATGAAGTATCTCTGGAAGGAAGGCCTTCCATTCCCTTCTTATTCCCAGAGATCTAGTAATCTTGAGCAGGGTTGCCCTAATGAGGACCCCTGGAGTGAATATATAAAGAATGTGCTGGGTAAGGAGGACTACATGGAGAAGGGAACAACAAATATATGTGTGCATATGCACAGCAGTGCCTATTGCCTTAGGAACCAAAAAGAACTACAGGATCAACCATATGGTAGAAATTCTATAGCAGTGGTTCTCAACCTGTGGGTCGGGACCCCATCTGGGGTCGAACGACCATTTCACGGGGGTCGCCAAACAAGGCTGTCCACCATTTTTCCCCCTTTTCTTTGGCCATGCCCCTGGCACCCGGTGATGTATAAGTGGTTGGGGGTCACCACAACATGGGGAACTGTATTGGGGGTCGCGGCATTAGAAAAGTTGAGAACCACTGTTCTATAGTGACCTGAGTTCCACTGCAAGCAGCCTAGGAAAGAGAAATTAATCTGATGCTTTAAAAGCTGAGGAGATGAACATCAACATAAAGCATTGATTCAAAACGTCAAGTTTGACTGACTTGCACACCGACCTTCAGCAGGTCTAGATTACTGCTGAAGTTCTAGGCCAGTGGTTCTCAACCTTTTTAATGCCACGACCCCAACCGGTCGTAAGACGAGGACTACTCAACTGATGCAGCACCGTTTGCAGAATGGGACTTTGGGCGGGCTCAGCAGGGCAGAGACAGCCTGGACAATTCCTATTGGCTTTTGAAAGCCAATAGAATTAGACTCTATTCAAGAGAGTCTATTCTATTGGCTTTCAAAAGCCAATAGAATAAAAGGGAGTAGCACAGCTAAGGAAAAGGGGAAAAAAATGGCGGACTGCGTTGTTTGGCGACCCCCGTGAAATGGTCGTTTGACCCCAAATGGGGCCCCGACCCACAGGTTGAGAACCACTGTTTTCTTTTATCCTTCTTACTAATCTATAATTCTGATGCATGAAATCTGGCATCTAGTACACCATCTGGTATCCAACAATAATTCGTATCAGTCAGTTTTAATTTAAAAAGAAACTTCCCAAGTTTTAATTATCTGAAAGCATCCAAGAAGCACTGTTACTCAAAGAATGAAGTTAATTTACATTGCTGACACTATCCTGGTGCACTTAACATATCTGCAATTTACCCATATCTCTTATATTAATTGTTAGTTAACAAGCTGTTCCAGAATAAAAAGGAACCCATTGATCAACAATGTGCTAATTTTGCTTGATTGACTTGCCTGGATTCTTTAGATTACTGTTTGAAATGCTCCCACTAAAGTCGCAGTTTATGTACAATCATTCACAATCCTCCTTTTTAAAAGGCACTTACTTCCAACATGAGGAGAATCAAAACCAGGAATGTTATTACTTCTTCATATACATGTATGCACACACATATAATCATAATTACTGCCCTCCCACATGCATCATACACACACACACACACACACACACACACACACACACACACACACACCAACATAAGCAGAAGAAATGATCTTGCTGAGATCATTTTGGGAATAGACAGGCCAAAAAAAGTCATAAATCTTACACAGAGGTCTTTAGGCTATGCATCATGCAGAGAAGCAAACTGAGGTTTCTGAGTTCAACTAAGGTTCTCTCTTCATTGACAGCAGGGAAGACTAAAAATCATTACCTTCACCAGTCTCACACAGACACAGTTCAACAAATGTCTCATAAATGTCTTGCCAGACTTTGTTGTATGCAACAGTTCTTTCTCAAATTCAGACTAGATCCACAATATTCTTTTTCTTATGTGGTAACTTGAAGTGTCAGATGAGGGAAAGCAAGATTTGAATAACCCAATACAGAATGTCTCCCCCTTATCACTGCAATACCAAAACTGGAAAAAAAATGGTATGTGTAACTATTGTGTTCTCCACAAACCACAACAATCCTCAGGGCTGATGAAACAGGATATGAAAGAGGTGAACCATTTGGTTCAACCACCTGAAAAGTATCTTAATACCAAGTATATGTTCTCTGTTTGTGATATATGAAAGTCTGGATCCATGAAGCAATTAAGACCATCTCATTAATCTAACTGCTCCCCAGATGTCTGGGATTGCAACTTCCAGAGTAGCACAGTTAGGGAAAGGCTGAAATATTTAAATGGCACTTCCATATTCAAAGGAGTATTTGTCTTTTGTCTCTGGTTAAAAAAAAACTATAAACATG